ATTTGTAATTTGTTTATCAAGTTCATTTGAATGGAGATAAAAAAAAAGAAACAAACATGAAATTCATTCAAATGGTTCATTCAAATGATTCATCTAAATGGAAAAACGAACAACCCAAAAAAACTGAATGAATCATTTGAATGAATCACATAAATGGATCATTTGAATGAATATTACAAATGGAGAAACGAACAGGCCCATTATATATCAACTGCAACCCTAACTAAATTGACATAGACTTTTTTTTTTGTCAACTGAATACTTAAAATTAAAAAGAAAAGGCCTCAGGCCCAATGTCTAGCCCATAGCAGGGGTGGTTACACATGATCCCTTAAGGATATTTTTAACTAAAACATCGACTTGTGAAAGTTGAAGTCGGGAGAGATGAGAGAAACAGATATCGACGGAAACAGAGGAGGTTTGTTGAAAATCTTTTACGATTCCAAATATCTCCTTGACCTGCGAGTCGTTGTTGATTGCTCTGATGAGCGTTGAGTTGCCAGAGATCATCTTAATCGATAATTGATCAAGATTCACTGCTGCGAAGAGTCCCAATCTGATGGCCAATGCTTCGGCTACGATCGGGGAAGTGACGAAGCTCTCTATCGTTGATCCTTGTTTAAGTATTGCTCCTGAGTTATCATAGAGGATCAAGGCTAGTTCCACCTTCTTCGTTGCTTTTTTCCAAGCCACATCCAGCCATGTAAGAAGAAGGTTAGCGAAACAGTTCACTGCTGTGAGATTGGTGGATCGTAACGCTAGAGCCTCTGCTACCAACAGGGAGCTTACAGTGTCATGCGTGGTTGATCCTCGAGTTTTGCTTGTTCCGGACTGTCCCGTGAAGATCCAGGCTTTGGCTATGCTCCTTGAAAAGCTAAATACAGCTTCAATATTGATGATGATAATCCGGGAGACTAGGTGAATCTCAACTGGGCCAGAGATCATATTGTACAGCAAGAAAGACAGTGAGACAGTTGCATACGCGCGACTAAGGCTAGACGATGATGACCGATGTATGCTGTCTTGGTTTGAGAGCGGGGATGGAAAATCCACTAAGGTGCCTTGGTGAGAGAGAAATTTGCCTTGAGTTTTGGTTCTAGAACACTCGTTGGAATGAGCATAGGATGTTGATTCCATAAAAACAAGATTCTCTGTCACAGTTCTTGGCTTGGTTGAAAAATGGCTGACCTTGACTTCACATCCTTGAGAAATAAACTTGATGATATGTGATGGGTAGGCGGTGGTTGAGTTCAAACAGGGACTCCATCCTCCAACATTACCGTGTTGGGTCCAAAGATCTGTGGAAACTAAACCTAGCCGCTTTTCATCATTCTTTATCAAGCTAACCATGAAAGACCAAGTACCTTGAAGTACAGAACTTGTGAAACTGAGCTCAGTGAAATTGTTGTGTTGTGTAGTGGTCAGGCTGAGATAATTGCCACAAACATGGTAAGGCTGGAGCCATACACTTCTTCTGGGCACAAGCCTAAGTCCGTAATGGTTGGTTTCCATACGAACCCAAAAGATTGGAGAAAATGAAGTACTAGGCTTGGATCTTCCGATGTACAGAAGAGGGGAGAGATACAATGGAGGGAACCAACCGGTGAAGACTCTGAGAAGTTGATTTTTAAAAACAGAGCAAGGTTCAGAACCGGTTTTCACAATTCGAAAGCTTGGAGAGCTTGAGACAGCTACATCATGCGACGGAAGAGATAGGTTGAAGACGCCGGAGTCCGGTGAACGTATGGCGCAGAAGAGAACTTGCCTCTTGGACACACCAAGGAAGGCACCACCAGTAGTTTCAGCCTCCATATCTGAGACGGTGGACTCCAGATCTACAACTTTTGTGACCATATGAGGAGAGGTGTATAGGGGTTCATCGACGAAGGGGAGACAAGAGAGGATGACGACTGCATCTGGAGGGTCTGGGGGATCAGGCGGCTCGCTTGGAGTGACAGACTCGAACGGTGCAGACAGCTTACACGGTGGTGGATCTGGCGGAGGTCTTGAACGCGGCTGAGGCGGAGCTTTCACCATTGAGACTGGAAGAAGAGGACGAACTTCTTCACAGGGTAGTAGACGGGACGTCGGAGCTGGATCGGAGAGGGGCCATACAGTGACGGCGCCTAGGGAGGCGGGCCTGGGAGGGTTTGACATAGACTTGATTGGAATTTTTTAAGTTAAATAAATCTGAGTAAAGTCAACTACGGCCCTAAGATTAGTGATAGTATCTGATAAATTCTGTCGAAGTACTGCCTATTTCCTACATCCACCAATCATATTGTAAGACTAAAGAATATACTCCAATAAAAAGGTGACAAAATCATCAAAATGTTTACATATCATAATTTAACTACACACGTTAAGATCTCTTCAATCTTCCCCATCATACTTGTTATTAACATATAGCTACCCCACTTTGTGTTGTCACACTTCTTCATATTCATCGAAGAAATAAACATAATATCATCATGAGCTCTGACAACAGATATAATGATCACCAAATCCATCCTGACTTCTGGCAACATGCGGCTTCTTACAATGGTAGCAGCAATATTTTAATTATTATCATCCTTGTTTTCTCTATTTTTATCCTCCTTGTCTGTGCTTATCATCTCTACCCAAGATTCGTTCTACGCGGCCGTAGATCCACCTTCCAAGGCCACTCTTTCACCATCGTTACTCAGCCTCCCAAACATGGCCTTGACATAGTTGTCATTGCTTCTCTCCCTACATTTGTGGTTGGAGTCAACCGTGACGAGGAATCGGCTACGGAATGTGCAGTATGTCTAGCCTTGTTGGAAGAGAAAGATATGGCGAGGATGTTACCAAACTGCAAACACATTTTCCATGTGACATGCGTTGACACATGGCTCGCAACGCACTCCACTTGTCCTATTTGTAGAAGTGAAGTCGAGCCGAGTCAACGACTTGAGCCTGAGCCAAGAGAAGGGCCTGTTGGTGACCGTGCATCTTCGTCGAATTACAAGAGTGGCAGTGGCGGGTCATCGGTTGTGCGGTTAGATTCGTTTCAGAGGATTTTGACAAGAGAAAGATCTTTGGACGGGGACGATCATTCTCGCATCGACCAAGATCGTGTATTAGATCTTGAGAGACTATGAATAATAAGTACTCTTGTTCACGTTACAATAGTACTCTTGTTCTTACCTAAATCTTTGTATGTTACTGTACAAAAATACACATTATTACAAAAGCAGTTGTTGATTAACGTGTGAAAAGAAGAAAATAAAAAGTGTTGAACTTGTAAAATACAATTCATACAACTTTGTAATATTTTTTTCAATGTGTGTTTACATTGAATACTCTTCTTCAAGTCAAACTATGTGGTTACCACACGTTTACACTTTTAATTTTCTTCCTGACCATGGACATTTCAGTGATTTCACATTATTTCTAGTCATACATATGTATTGAGATAAACTTGAATTATCATTTCTGTTGACAAAAAGTCAAACTTATCATCTTTAAATTTTCCTGACTGCCATCTTATTTCATTGAATGTAAGATGCTTAGTGGTCCTCTCGTCCATACATATTTATATTCGTAACCAATCATCAAATTTTAAAATATTTACAACATATATTATACGTTTAGAGTGGATTGATGAATCTTTCTGTTTAGGTAAACCAATTTGCACCATACAAAATAACTAACTAACTCGTCGTATACCGGATTGATGATAGACAAGCCATTCTGTGTAACGAGCCAACTCTTAATAAACATATAAATTCAGTCTACAACATGTATCTGCGACTTTGATATATTCCAAACTTATACATACGAGTTCTAAAACTTCCAATAAACCTATCACCAATAACACTTGATAGTCTAAAATTGAATAATAGACCTAAAGTATATTGTTTAAAAAAAAAAAAAATCCTAAAGTGTATAAACTTTTCTTGGTTCTTGAATAGCCACATGCTCTAGTGTTTGAACAAATCCATGTTAAAGTCAACAAAGGTGAATTTTCTAAACCCCCTTGTTATCTCCTTCACATTTTTCTCCACCCACCAACTAAAGTTATCAACCTTTGAAAAAAAAATATCAAAACAATAACATTTTCAAAATCCTATATTACTTATATATCTAATACATTAGAAGTTAGTAGTCATTTCTGTTCACTTTCCTTCCACATTCCACAATGAGCTCCGACGATAGAGATCATTACTGGTTCAACCATCATGAACACCACTCCTTCTGGCCTAATCCTTCTACTTATGACCGCAACAGCAAGATCATGCTCGCAGCGGTCGTCTCTTTATCAGCAGTTATCCTCTTCGTCTTCATCCTCCATCTCTACGCAAGATTCGTTCTCCGCCGCCGTAGAGACACTTTCCGTGGCCTCCCCGTCGTTGTACGCCACCCTTTTCAGACCCCAAAACGTGGCCTAAACCCAACACTCATCGCTTCTCTCCCTACTTTCACCGTTGGAGCCGTCGGTGAAGAGACGGCAGCTACTGAATGTGCCGTGTGTCTAAGCGTGTTGGAGGAGCTAGACACGGCTAGAGAGTTGCCGAGCTGCAAACACGTCTTCCATGTTGACTGTGTTGACAAGTGGCTCACCACTTGCTCCACGTGTCCTGTTTGTAGGACTGAAGTTCAGCCGAGGCCGAGACTTGAGCCTGAGCCAAGAGAGGGACCAGTGGGTGGTGACGGTGCCTCCTCACCACCCACTGCACCGCCGTTGTTCGACGACGTCAGGATAAACTTGACAGCAGAAGCTGCTGCATCTTCTTCGTCGGATGACAAAACAGTTGTGTCGTCGGTTTCGAGGTTAGATTCTTTTAGAAAAATCTTGACAAGGGAAAGATCTTCGAACAGGATCAACCATTCTTGTGTTGACCAAGATCGTGTCTCCGACAACAATGAATCGAGATAGAAATACACATATACTGCATATAAATCATACAATACGTCGATAATCTTTAGTTTTATATACTATACTTTGAAACTCTGTTTTTTCTTTGTGTGTGGATATTTTTGTGTAATGAAACAATATTTAAATGCGATACATCTTGATACAAAAAAGGGTTAGCTTTCAATAACCATGCGGTTGCTAAATATGATGATTGATGATCATAATAAAGCCTAGAATGATGAAGGGTAACGACAAGATACTGCTAAAGATCCGTCTTGCTCCGCTAATATCTGAGGATTCTTGTGCACTTGTTCCCTGCGTTGATGTGGTTGCAGCCACTATATTGCCATTGCTCACTTGCTTACTGCAACATAAACTTCAAGCGCATGAAACAAAGAATGTGTAACATTTCAAATGTTAATTTGCATTAATAGTAAGTTCATCATTCTAAAGCCGTAAACTAGTGAACAGAGTAAGTCATGCTTTCACTCAATATTTAATAGAAATCATTACAAAATAATCAGATCTGATTCAAATTTGGACCAAAACAGCCTCAAACTTAACTATTACCTTGAAGGGAATTTACATGTTCCTTGACCTGAAAACAACAAAAGAATTCAAACTTTAAAACCAAAAAAATACTATTCATTTTGCGGACCCTATTAATTGACCAATAAGAGAGAAAAAAAGGTGGAAATTTTTACTGGGGTTAAGGGAAGTAACAGCCGCATTGTTACTAAAGTTACAAGCTTCATCTTCGGGACCATTCTTCAGATAATAGTTATTGAAAACATACGACGCCATCTTCAAGATATCAGACGGATCATAGCAAGGTCCGCCTTGCTGGATCCCGGAGCAGTCGGTGCCTCCTGGACCACAAGCCCAGTCAATGGCTGCTTGAAGAGCCGAATCTTCTGCGTTGTTCTTCGCCACACACCATAGATCCGTCTCTGACGCCTGTCCATTGAACTGTCCAGCAGTGAAGGTGATGACAAGAGAGAGATGCAGTAGGAGGTAGTGGAAGTGAAACAGAGAAGAAGTATAAGAGATCATTTTTAAGAGAGGAAGGTAAGCAACGACGGAGGCTTCGAGGTGGAGATAGAAATGAGTAAGTGAGTGATCGGTTTAAGGAAAGATCTAACAGTTTCTCGAAGAGGAAGATGAAGAGAGTGAATCTGAACGAGTCAGTTTTTTTGACGTTTTCCGTGGCGGTTATAAAGATGCGGGTGAATAATGTAATTTTGGACACTTTACCGAGTTATCAGTTATTAAACGCGGTAACTTTCGTTTAAAATCAATTTGGGCCGTATTAAAACCTTCTAGCCCATATACTTTAAAAATAAGCCTAAAGTCTATATAGTCTAACTCAATAGAGGATTAGGAGATCTATAATGACAAGTGTATTCAAAGCATTTTTTTGGTAACAATTATCCAAGCATCTTATGAACGTTACTTATTAACCAAATTTCAATCCTTACTCTAAGTTGGTTTGTAACAAAGTTACAAAAATGTATGTTAATCGAGAGATTTTCTATTGAACCCCACAACCAAAATAATAATAGATGTGTCAGGTTGTTAAAATTGAATTTGCAAGCTTTGAAGCTTTCTTTATTTATTTTCTTCTTTATCTGTTTTAAACTGTGACTGTCTCATATCATTTTGAACCATTAAAATTCAAAAGATTATAGTTAAAATTCCGTTGTTAGTTGCCACTTGTCTGCTATTGGTCCAATGAGATACCATACTACCAATTTGCTTAAAGAATCTTCAAACCCAAATCACGAAGAAATGTCGAAAAAAAAAAGAAGAAGACAATCATGTATTGGAGAATGTAGTGGTCCACTGCAGGAACACATCACGTGAAATCACAGCTTAGCTAGTCTTCATATGTTGTCCACTCGCATTCATTTTCTTTCCTTTTCACCATAAGTTTAGCTAAGCGTTTATAGTTACTCACGGAACAAAGTTTATAACACTCTAAAGGATATATTCATTGTAAAGAGGGGGTTTTTGAATAAATTTACATTACATGCAATAAACAACCAAAGAATATGTCGTTTTTTTTTTCAGCATAGTTCTTGTTTAACAAACCTAATAAAGAAACTGGAACAATGTTTCTTGTTTTTGGAGAAGAAATTAGAAATGTGATATAGAGTAGAAGATGATGAGAAAAAACTATTCAGAATGAATCTTTAGTACACAATACTTGTAAACTCCAAATAAAAACGTAACAAATCAACTATTTCTTTGTACAAACAACAATTGATGACTTTCTTTACATTAACCCCACAGAAAAACGACATAAAATAAAAGATAAGATACAACAAACTGAATTCATCACAACTTTAAAAAATGGTGATAAGAATAAAAAAGTCATCTTCTAAAATTCTTGACCGATTATTGAATCAAGAACCTTTTGCAAAGAAAAGTGAAAGTATATATGTTGCATTGTAATGACTTATCATACATTGAGGAGTTCTTCTTTTTCAATAGACAGCCCGATGTCGACGGCCTCATTATCTCCGGTTCCTATCTCTGGTGAATGATTTGCATTCTCCATTTTTTTGAGGCTTTGTTGTTGATACACTTGTTGAAGTCTCTCTATTTCTCTCTTCATTGCTTCTTGATGTGCTGTGAATAATGAAAAGATAATTGGGTGTGTTCATATACTGTCAGTGATAACTTGATACCTCCACGAAAAAATTAAGAAAAAGAATATAACTAATAACAGAGACACAAATACACATACATCCATCTAATGATCCAAATACCAAAAGAAATATTTGCTATTTGTTATTAATTTCTAGTATATAGTTTTAATAAAGTTCAATCTTTGTCTTGTTATAGTTATAAAAACTATTAACATTGTATATTTGAAGTTTTCTTTATAAAATTAGGATTTCTTTTGAGAAAATAATTAAGGGAAATTGATAGATAAATGAAATTAGACTGTAAAAAGTAAATAGGACTGAAGATAATTTACCGTCTTTGAAAATTTTGTCTTGGGCTAAAGCAGCGATTCGTTGCTTGAGAGCGCTATTGTCGACGTTGAGAAGCAAACGCTGGTGGTCCAAGAACGCAACTCTTGGCGATAACACTGACACTTCCGCCTTTGATATCATTTTTTATAACAAGAACAATTTAAGATTTACAATCATAATTCAGTTCAAAAACAAAAAAAAAGATTTACAATCATAATATATAGGCCATGAAACCGTAAAATGTAAATGCACCTGTAATGAAGTAACGCTACGTTCGAGCTCTGTTATATATTGCAGCTTCCTCACCCTTGATCTCTGTGCTGATTGCCGATTGGCTAATATTCTGTAGAACCATTCAGCAATGTTATTATAAAATTTATTGTTATTGATGTGACGGTAATTTTCAGTTAATATGTGTACGTGCATGCATGATCTTTGGGTTTACAATAGTAAGACGGTGAATATGAATAAAAATTTACCTCTTAACCCTTTTGGGATCGATAATTCTGTTAACGGAGCTATCGCCTGAGTTGTTATTAGAAGCCGCACCGTCTTCAGGCTCCGTCTTGCATTGGCTGTGGACCTCGTCGTTATGTTTCGTATTATGTTCGGACGGTGGTTCTTTGTCGCCGTTAAAGCTGTTATGATCAGACAAGGTTGATGTATTAGATGAAGAGCCAGTGGGCCCCACATTGTTGTTGTTGTTGTTGTCATGAGAAGGATTATTATTGTTGTTATGTAAGTCGTCGTAGTCCTTGAACATGGACATGAATTGCTCATCGTCGAACCTATCGAAGTGGTTGTTTTCGATGCTGGTGTGGCCTCTGCTGACGAATGGAGCTTCAAGGAAAGCGCTTGAATCGCTTATGGAACGACGGTGGTTTCCACGGCGGCAGGCTGAAAAGTCGAGGAACTCGTCTACCCATGAAGGGTTTTGTACGGCGGTTGAAGCGGTTGTGGAGAGCTTTTGGGAAGAAAAATCAGGCCAATGTGGTGTCATGTTAGGGATTTTAGGAGGGAGTTGTGCCATTTGAAGAGAATTTCTATATTATCTAATAAAAAAAAGAAGATTAATCTCAAGGGGAAATTAATTTCTACAAAAGAAAACAAATCTGAATTTACACAAGAAAAATAAGGTTAAAACCCTAGAATGTAAACAAAGGAAAGAAAAAAAAAAATCTGAAGATGAGGCAAATGGAAAGTGGAATCAGATCAATAACGTCCTAAACCATAAGAAGATGGATAAAGGAAATTAAAGGAGGAGAGGAAGAAGGGGAGTTAACCAAATTTGCTATGTTTAACAAATAGCAGTTATATAAATAGATGGGAGAAATAATGAAGGAGACATATAGATAGAGAGTGAATGAGATGTATAAATGTAAAAAGAACATAATGAATTGGATGTGATCAAAGTGTTTTTATTATCTCTGAGTAAGGTCACATGGGGGGGAGGGGGGAGATTGAGATCAGACAGCTTTGGAACAGCTGTCTTGAAAAAAGAGGCTTAAGTTCTCAATTGTATGTACTGTAAAGTGCAAAGTCTCCTCCATTGATTAAAAATCTATGTAAGAGCATGTGTATCGCTGGGACAAATATTATTTGTCTTTATATTTTTATATTAATATTTTGAGTTAGAGGTGAATATTTTAATCACTAAAATAGCATCTGTTCATGCCACCTGCTTAAGGACGCTATGGGACGTATACAAAATAGAGAACGTCCTCCGTTTAATCGTTATTTTTTATTTAAATTAAATAGAAAAACAAGATAAGGACGAGGGAAGGACGACCGATGCACATGCTCTAAGAGATTCTGGAGAGGAATCAAAGCAAGCATGTGTCCTTGTGTCCCTTTGTTTTTTTTTTAGTTTGCTTAAAATAGTCATTCTCATTATCTTAATAGACCTTCTCAGTTTCTCACTCCTCCACCGATATTCGATACCCGGCCAGATTGTGCTATGGTCCGTGTTGCTTTCAATCACGAGAAAAGTTTGCAATTTTTATAGAAATTCGATGCTCTTCTAAAATCTTTTTATATTCTTTTATAAATGTTTATAGTTTGTGACCTAACAGTGATAACACACATATATATATTTGTAAACCATAATGACTGATATTAGTGATCAATTATGTAATGAAAATTTATAAACCTGCGTAGATGAAAGTGATGATTACATGATCAGTTAGTAGCATACAAATATACAATATTATTTATAGAATTCAGTGGAATCAATCAACATGACTACTCAGCACCCGTTAATTAGGGGATCATATAATCAATCAAACTCTCTTAATTCTTCTGGAATAGAGTTGTGAAATCAAGAAAAGTAAGAAGAGAATATAACGTTGATGTGTGAGTCCATGTGATTTATTTTCTGTACTCTTTTTCTCTATTCATGCTTTGTCTCCAGACCACTCACACATGTAGGACACTCTATGTACGTGCTTTAATCTTCAGTGTGTCAAAAAATAGTGACAAATCATAATCCTAGACAACGATGAAGTAGTGACAATGCTTCTCGGTATTCACAGTCTACGTCTCGTGTCTATGATGATCCTAATGTCATATGATCAGAAGTCTTACTCTGTATTATATTAAAACTGTTATTCAGTAACATTCACCTCGTATTCATGATGGTGAGCCTGATCAAGAACATATACTGTATTGCTAAGTACTGTAAATTTGATGAATAAATTGATTCGAACACTTGAGAAAACATAAGTTTAAATCATACGAAAAGTTTCCATATCTCGTACATTGTTTTACGTTTGTACAATAATATACGCGATCAACGATCACATGTTTTTGTTCTCTCCAATTCTAATTTTAAACATATCTTCTTCTTGTCGGAAGGCAATCCTTAAAAGCAACAACACATGAAAACAATGATTGAAATCGCGTATAGATTGTTCAAGAAACAGACTACGTATTCAAAAGAGTTCCCTAGAGTTAGTTAGCTGATCTATTGGGATTTACACTCTTCAGTAGATATCTTCTTCTCTTAGCAGACCGAACACGACGCCTAAGCATCCATAAGATCACCAAGAAACCAATCAACACAAACTGAAGTGCGAACACAAGCTTCATACCTGCATTATACAAACATTTTGGTTTCGGTTTGCGCCACATAACTAATTAGCTTTATGCAAAAAGACAGAACCTTGGAGATTCTTGACCATGTCTTGAAGATTCGCTATAGTTATCGAACTATCTGGATCGGTTGTTACAGAACGATCAATAGATTTACGTTCGGGTCTAGGCTTGTAAATGTAGTTAACGTTACCACCCATTATACACGTGTTGGGACAAGTAATGCTACTCTCATACTCGTCACTTCCATCGCAACAATCTGAGAAACACAATGCTTTCCAGATTAACCTCATATTCATTGAATTAAGAGAACTAACTAAAGAAGAATCAAGATTCAGAGGAAGTTGTTACTGACCACATATTCGATCATTCACACGAGAAGAGTAAACAAACTTCGGAGAACTTCCTGTGTTCCGACAGTAGAATTTTCCGTTCGGACATGCCGAAGTTCCTAAGTTAACAAAAACATGACGTCATCTATGGATCTAAAGAATATGATCAGATCTTTATCTGGGCAGATATAAAGTTGCTAACTTTCGTACCAGGCTCATCGGTTCCGTCGAGACAATCGCAGAAGTTGTCGTTGAGACGGTCTCTAGGGAATGATTTGGAACCATCTTTACATCTGATTATGTCTGACTCGAAGTATTTTTCATCTGCTTTTAAGTAGAAGAGCGAATGAGAGATTATAGATTTCTAAATTTTTGCGAATCGAAGAAAATCAAACCTAATGGATGAACTCCGACGAGGGGAGTGGTCGAGGAATTGACGGAGACGACGGCGAGTATAAAAGACGACACGCATTGCAGCAGCTTAATCTTGTTTCTCAACATGTTTGCTGTTTAACCATTTCCCAGTTTCGGCTAATGTTCGTCCACTACAAACATACGTTGACTCGTTGGTTAACCCGCGCAAATAATTAAAACGCTGTCGTCTTATACAAAGTCGCTGGACTGTTGATAAGTGGGCTTTTCGCTTCAAATTTTTCTGTTGGGCTACACTACCCATTAATACTTTTATTTTTTGATTCCGGCCAATTCATAGAAAAACACAAGAACTTTGGACTATTGAAGATACAAGAGAATTCCACAACCTGGTGTTCAAAAAAAAAAAAAAAGAGAATTCCACAACTTTTTTTTTTGATGAAATCTAACGGTTTTAGAGGAGAAGCTAAAAAAATTTACAACTCATCACACGTTCTCAAGAAAAAGAGAGCAAAGATCAGACTTCTCTCTATTAACACCAACCCATTAAAGAGGTTATAACTACAATGATCCTTTATCTATCTCTCATTGGTATTCAGATACTTAAACCATCACTGCTGGTTTGTTTGATTGTTTGGGCCATACGTTGGAGCTGTTGTTGGAGGAGCCATAGTCTCTTGAGTAAGATTCCCAGTTGCTGCTTTAACTCCTTTGGTAGCCTTTGCACGACCTTTTGTTGGAGGAGAAGGTTTGTCTGAAGCTGCCTCAGGTGTCAACTGTCCCATCTTCTCCATCTTCTTCTGCAGATCAGCCAGAGGGTCTTTTGCAGCTTTTACTTTAGGACTCTTCTTCCCGTTTGTTAACTTGAGCTCTAGTCTGTATAAGGCGAATACATCTGATTCGTTGATCTGGTACTCAAAGAGATGCCATTCGAAGGGGCCAGGAGGTTGTGGATCCATGTAGTAAGATCTTTTCTGGCCTTCTTGTTCTTTCATCAGTTGTTTTCTTGACTCATGCCAGCCTCGTCCGTTGTAATCTGGAAGTGATCTTTGCTTTCTGTTTCCACTATCATATGCTCTTCTAGGCTTGTCGAAGAAGAGCCATTCTCTAATCGTTTCGCCCTCAACCAGTTCAAGATGAAATCGCTCTGCAAATATAAACAGTTAACAAAAGGGTGGTCAGGTGAATAAAGAAGTTAAACATTTGGTTTGGTTTATATGCTCTAACCTGTTGCGTTCCATGGGCATTTTGTGTTGACAGCTCCTTCACACTCTGGGATGCCAACATTCTTACCAAGAGTCTTTGCACGAAGAGCATCAATCAAGAGATTGTCTTTCAGACTAATGCCTCCTGGTCTTAAAACAGGTGCTGTGCCAGGAGAACCTTCATTCAAAGCTAGATTCCCGTGGTAGTCACTGCAGTAGTCCATGTACCAGTCAGATCCGTGAGCAGGCCTTGTGCAATCCCATAGTGCACACTTTGGTCCCAAAAAGGCAGAAGGAGGCACACGGACACTTGATGGAGTAGTGAACTCAGACTCGTCCGGAACATCAAGCTTAACGGAAGGGGTGTTGTTGAATTCCTGGCGCACTTCTGAGAGATGGTAATCGAGCTGAGAAGCTATATCCAAGTGGTTGAGTTTCTGGCCATGGATATCAGGAGCGGTGTTTATGCTTGGATCAAACTCTTGATATCCACAATGGAGTTGCTGCTGGCCATGTGTTTCCGCGTTATTAACAGCATCCTGAGATAGAAAAACAAGAATAAACATGATCAAACGGAATACAGAATAAAAAGCGTTACAAATTTCTACAAGCATAGAGCCAACAACCCAAAACAAATAGACAATCCAGGAGGAACTGAACATCAATGAGACATATAAAGATCCTTATATACGAGAGACATTCATAACCACTGTTTATCTGACCTAGAATCTTAGTGCTACCCTAAAGGAACGCTGTAACCAGACTAGAAACAAAAGCTAAACTCACCTCAAACCCACTCAAGAAATTAACATCGAAAGAGCTCTGATTAAAACTCTCAGCATTCCATTCCAAATGTCCCGGAGAGCACAAACTCTGATCAAAAGCATCAGCCTTTGGAGCAGCATGTTCCTTGAAGGAGCTAGTAGCATCATCCTCCTCATCATTAAGTTTCAACAAACGAGCAATCTCCTCAGAGAAATGACTAATACTTCCACCCTGTCATCATCACACAACATCATCAAAAAAGATCACAAAAAACCAACAAAAGTCACAATCTTTTTTTGGTAATCGAAATACAAACCAGAAGAGAAGACTCTGGAGAAGGAGCACTGAGCTCAGCTTGCCACTCACGGAGATTCTGAGAGATTTGTGCTTCGAGAATCGCGTGATCGTTAAGCCTCCCTTCTTTCCTGGCGGCTTGAAGATGAGAGAATCTCTCCTGGAGTTGGATTAGCTTCTCCACCAGATTCTGATGCGATGACGATACGCATGTGATCTTCGGATAGTTCGACATCGAAAAAACCTAATCACAGAGAGAGAGAATCTCAAGAAATTCAATCACAAACCCTAAATTATAATTCAAATCGGGGAAAAACCCTAAATTGAAAATCAATTCAAAGAAAAACTCACCGTTTCTTTAATTCAAAGCAGGTTATATAGCTCGGATGGAGGGGAAGGAAGAGGGGTTATCGGGATGATGATTGATGAAGGAGAAGAGAGTTATACAGCGAAGAAGAAGAAGACGACGAGGAAGGAAGGAGACATCAGGGGTGGTCGACGACGACTATTTTCTTTCAATGTTTTTGGTTTTGATTCTGAACTTTCCTGCGAATGAAAAACCCGACGACCCATTTATGGTTTGCTATATATCTGGCCCATTATGACCCAATGAAAATTCAAAAAAGGAAAGTATGCCAAAATAATCCTCTGGTTTACAAATTTCGGCCAAAACAAATATATATCAACTTTCGCAAAAAGAAGTTGATTATTGAGTAATTGCATCCTACACACAAGAGAGATATGCTTATTAGCTATATACCCTAATTTTGTCCTCTAGTAGTATATTCATTTGCTCTCTTTACTATTTTACCCCTATTCAACATAATCAAGATATATAACTATTTATAATACTATTCTCTTTCATGTGTTTTAAACTCTTCTTTATTTTTTTCTTTCTCTCTCTTCTGTAAACAATATCATTTTCTTTCTTCTGTTTCGAAACTCTCCTTTATTTTTCTCTTTCTCTCTCTCTCTCTCCATAATCCAGAAATTAAAGCTTTGATTCCATGAAAAAAGGTCAAACAAAAAAAAAAGTAATTTTGAAGAAGAGAAAAAAGTAAAGCTTTGATTTTAACAAAACCCTTAGCTTTGGTTTGCCGTCTTCCATGGGAGATCCCTCGTAGCTTGGATTTTATTTTTTTTATGAGACGTATTTAATGTTCTTGAAGAAATGATGAAATTATACTTCATAAAAATGGTGGATTTGGTTCAGATTGTTTTACCGGGTTGAGTAGGTGAGTTTGATTTGAGTTAACTCAACATAACAAGTTGGTTCATTAAATAATTGAAAGTTCTAGACAAAACTTTATTTGTTCCAGTACATATAATATTAGCTTGTCAACAAATCGACACACAAATATCGAAAATATTGCATGGATAAACCTTTTTATGTTCAGCTAATACTAATAATAATAGTTGACAAAAGAAAGATACAAAACTGTTCTAGAAGTGCACTTACAATTATTGACCGGATAAATCTTTTCATATTCAGCTAAGAATAATAATATTGGTTTTCTGGATGATTGGATTTAAAACGTTTTATTGTATTCGGCTAACCATGATATTAGCTTTCTAATAATTTGCAACAACTTCTAGTTTAAAAAAGTGTTAGCCGGATAAGAATTTGTAAGTACAACTAATTATTTTATTAGCTGTGTATTTGAGTTTAATCACACTTATAAAAGTTTGGGTATGTTTATCTTACGAAAGTTAAATGGTACAGATAACAACTTGCAATATGAAAATTTCACTACTATGATAATATATTACCACATTGGTTACAAAAAAATTTAACAAACCAAAAGGGAAAGCAAACATGCTAAAAAATCTTATAATCTGTTTTTAAAAACAACTCCTCATGGTTATAAGAAAGATTATCAAGCCAGAAACAAACTTAACGAGACTAAATTTTTTCCTAACCGAAAACTACACCCATAAGACATCTTGCTTGAACAAGATACGTTGAGGGGCGTATAAGAAATTTGAGAAGGAGATTCTCGAGGTCATTGTTTACCATATTCACCATTAATATTATATTAGATAACAGAGAAGATCCAACCCACCAGAACTTTCCAATTCCATCACGTGAGGAAGAAATAGATTCCAATTAAGGAAATGTCTATAAATTTACTTAAAGCTTGAGCCTTTTGCTAGAACCAGTAAGTCGTCCTCTCGTCTTCTTAATAGTAGGCGAGCCCCCCCCCCTCCTTCGGAGCCACCACTGTATCCACTAGGTTGGTTAGCGGTAAAGAAAGACGTCCGGGATCCAGTGATGCCGTTTTTGTTTACCGATCTTCATCCACCTACCTCGCCACAGCCAGACACACTAGACCATTTCTTTAAAAAATGAACATATAAATGTAAATTAAAGAAAACAAGACCACAAAATCACCATAATTGGTCGAGAACCATATTTCTGTAAAGAAACAGAGGAAGAAGATGGTGAAGAAAACAAGGATAATGAGAGAGAAAAATGTTAAATTTAATTTAATTTTAAAAATTAAAAGCTGGAAGGTTAGTTTCGTAATTGCTCCAAAATTCTTATCCCCACATATTTTTGTTTTGTGTAGTTTGCTAAATATGTACTTCTTATAGGATTTTGAGCAAATTCACCCTTGATTATTTGGTTTTACTCTGGTTGTACTTACTTTGTAATCAAAACATAAATAAAATTGATTATTTGGTTTTGAACTACATGATTTGTACCTATATTGTAATAAAAATAAGTAAAATTGATCAATAGTAAGAAAAGTACATCAAATATGATCATTAAAAATTAAATAAATGATCAACATAGTTATTGATATAAGAAAATCAAATAAATGAAAACATAAAACGAAACCCAAATTCTCATGAAATGAAAACATTATTCAATGAAAACAAAACTCAAATCTAAAAATTTCAAGTTTCAACAGACACGTTCAACCCTAAACTTTCATGTAATAGATAATTATTTTATATGTTCAATAATATTTTAGTGTATTTTGAGTACATATGCTCTTTTGGGATTTTGAATGTTTCAGATCTATCGAATATCTATTTAGGTACGGATTTGGTTCAGATAATATTCATACCCCGAAATACCATAAAACAAGATCCATTCGGTATTTATGATAGGTTTAGATCGATTTAGATTTATTTTTATCGGATCAGATTCGATACTGATTTCCGGGTTCAATTTATTTCTCCAGACCTAAATATTACCCAAAATTTCAATTTCATTAATTATAGCTCCAAATTGAGAAAGATGCCAAGTGAATTTGATTGTTTGTGACGCATTGATTTAGTGTTACTGAGTTCGTTAATTAGTTCAACGTCAAGTTTGTTGTCAAAACGTCATTGTCTATTTCCTTGATGCATTCACAAGCCTTGTTTATTTCCTTGAATGATATACAGTTTCTACTTAAAATTTTGCTTCCTTTTGGCCCTCGACCACTTCAATTTACGATATTATGATCATACACATCTCTTAATACCAGAAGAGGAAATGTGTGTTGTTGATGCATTTAACATATAGCCTATAGCCTATAGGTACATATTTATCTGTAATTATATGTGCAGATATAATGAAGAGAATTGTGGAGCCAAGATGGAATATGATGGAAAATGAAGTGGCAAGTGATGTCCTGCAAGATATTGACAGATAATATTAGTGCAACACAGAGTCTCCATACCACAATAACCTTGGTCTCAAGTAACTTCCAATTATAGTAATAAGCAGACACGTTGCAGGCATGATCATCATGACTTCAAGTAGCATCCATTCAATACCTCTCTCTCTCTCTTTCTTGATTAAGAAACTACTTCTTTATATCTTATCATTTCCACTCATCAAATCTAATCGATCATAGCCTAGCTATACTCATTCTCTCTAAACATGTAACAGACTAAAACCCTAATAAATGATCGTCCGTACACCAAAAGACACCCTCAAGTAAGAATAAAACTACCTTATTGTTTCTTTCTCTTTGACTCTATATAACACAACTCCTCCTTGGCTCTTCTTCCTTAGATCATCCGCATACACATAAATCTCTATCTATCTACGGTTTTCTTCTTCCTCCACTCTTATTCTTTCGTACTTCTGAATTAGTATATATTCTTCTTATATAATATATTTTGTTTATATAACGCGCGCAGGGGAGCATCTATCACCATCTGTTGGAGACTATGAAGAGGACACATCTGGCAAGTTTCAGCAACAGAACCCAAGAAAAAGAAGGAGACACTAATGGTCACGACAGAATCATCATGCATCACTACAAGAACTACGAAACAGGGCTGATCCCATGGCCTCCCAGGAACTACACTTGCAGCTTCTGCAGGAGAGAGTTTAGATCTGCTCAAGCACTTGGAGGACACATGAATGTTCACAGAAGAGACAAAGCAAAACTCAGACAGATACCTTCTTGGCTCTTTGAACCTCACCATCACACACCTGTTTGCAACCCTAACCCTAATCTTAACTCTTCTTCAACAACGCTAGCTCATCATGAGCCTTCCATAACCAACCAGATATCCAAAACGACTCCTTTTTCTTCTGCCCGGTTGGATCTTTTGGATAAGGGTTCTAGCTATGGAGGTTTGATGGAAGAAAGAGAGAAGAACAACATCAATGTATGTAGCAGAGATCTCAATAAGAGTGCTGTGGATTCATGTCATGCTGAAAAATGTGAGATAAGTCGTGGAGATCTGATGTACAAGGAAGATAGTGTCATGGGGTTGGAGCTTGGGATGGGTTTGAGGAACACAAAACAAGTTCTTGATTTGGAGCTTCGGCTTGGGTGCCTTTAATAACTTTAATTATTACTTCAACTACATGAATGTATGTAATGTATGGTATATCTGAGAAGTGAGCAAAAGACTTTGATTGCATTTATGCTAATGATATTAAATTTTACTACAATTTCAGTAGTTGGAAATCAAAGACAAAGTTGGAAAAGGTCTTTCCAATATCTTTCTAGGTTTGTACTTAAAAAAAAAAAAATTAAAACAAGTTTTCATTATTTTTCCACTCAGTCGCCATGGCTTGACAAACAAATACACTTGTCTTTTTTTTTGGTAAAAAAACACACTTTTCTTTTTTACTTTATTATTGGTGTTTACTCTCAGTTTCAAGCCTCCCATACGTATCAATTATAAAGTATCAAATTATAGTATATAGTCCATAAATACATAGCAGAATTACGTGACATATGAGCTAGGAAAGATTAGAAAAAGTGGGTTGCATGTGTATGCGAGTATTAAGAAAGGAAAAATGTGATAAAGATTAATTGCATTATTAGAAATATGGGTTGATGAGACACAGACGCACGCGACAAATTGGTACTATGAAACATATAGAGATGGATGATGATCGATTGACTTAGGAATAGTTAATGTTTTCATCTTTTACACTAACCATCACATGTAGTGGTTTTGTATATACTCATATATGTCATTAACTCACTTCATGATATGTGTTAGATTTTATGATATAAAAGAAAACATTTCATACAAAATCTCTATATTTTTCCAATACAAACACTATGTAGCTGAGAAATAGATGGGAGTACATGAGGATTGAGGAGTTGTAAATGAGGTTCCATGAATAAATGTGCCATGTATTACCAGTAAATATCAAGTGTATTCCATTCCATGGCTTGTGATTAATACTTCAGTGCATTTTGGCCATGACATACAAGTCCATGTCAACTATATGTATGTATGTACATTCAAAGTACATAGTACATGCAGATCAAGAGCCAAGAGTGTGGGAGACAAGATAATAAAATTATAAAAGAGGTGAACTGAAGTAAACAAGAAAATGGAATGTTTGGTAAATACATTTGGGATGTTTGTGGTTTCCATAATCAAATTTAATCTGACATTTTCCATCCTCCCCTACATTTTTACAATCCATCATTACCTTTCCCTTTTTAGAAACTATCACTTTCCTCCCTAATTTCTACCTTCCCGATCAATTCTTGCCTTGTCTATGAATAATAATTACAATGAATTTATTTGTGTTTGAGTGATGTGAAAGGTGAGAGTTTTTCATGATGTGCCTAATATATTTATTTTCTAACCTATTTCCTCCCAAATTTCTTATATTTCTTGAACATATACTTCTTTCAGTAATCCTTTTCATTGTCAAATCTAAGTTCTAACTATAACATCTTTTATTTGGTTGTTATTTGCAGTAATAGTGAGGAACTCTCTTGAGCAAACCCAGAGATTATTTGGCTAAAACTGTTTAAACAATTAAACTTATAGGATTTGTTAACTGTCCAATCAAAATGACTTCTGTCTCCATCTCAAAAACACATGTTTCGAGTTATGTCTTCTCACCCGTTCTTTCCACCCCAGGAATCTCTTTTGTTTCGTCTGAGGTGATTGATCTCTCGAACCGTGTGACATACACAAGTATACAGTAATTATGATATACTGTTTATTCCAACATAAATTATACTGATATAAGATGTGAGAGAAACTTTGTTAACTTCAACTAAATAAAGCAAAAATAAAATAAGTTGTTCTTTTTAAATCCAGAGTATTAGTAATACACCACATACACAAAGCACCAGTGGTCTAGTGGTAGAATAGTACCCTGCCACGGTACAGACCCGGGTTCGATTCCCGGCTGGTGCATTTTTTTTAAAGTTCTATATTTATTGTTAGCCACACTACTAACAACGTTTTGTGCTGTAACGTACCATTTTGATGTGAAATTTTAAAATCAGACCTTTTTCAGTTCGTAATCAGTAAACTACTTGTCTACGCCGACGAGATCATGCATGTTGAGGAGGTAGCTTTGGTGTTTAATTGTTTTGCGATTAAGGAGTTTGGACTTGATAGATGCTCGACCATTTTAACTCGAAAAGACATATATATTAACGAATGTTGTTTCTAATTTTCAGTTGATTAATTGTAAATAATTTGCTTTCTACAAAACTACTAACTATAATCATATCCACTTAACTGTAAGAACACGAGGGTTAAGTGAAAGTCACATGCACACACTATCCTAGTTGCATCAGATCAGACGATCTCTGTCGCCCGTGTACAAAATCCGTAAGCACATTATATTTATTCTTTTGGCTACAAATCATTATTGAACTTCTGATAATCTCCTCAGGTGATTTGAATCCTAGCTAGTCTGTACCAAATACACACTCACTTTAAGTAACCAAATATTCCTAAGCCACCTAAGCAAATCCAGCACAATCAATCAATTTAAAGAGCTTTCGTGTGTTTGTTTTGTCTTTTTTTTTTTTTAACATCGTCTTTGTTTTGTCATAAAGGGAGTTTATATAGCTTTTAATTACGTTATTAACAATTACATACTACAAAGATGGCCTCCAAATACATTCATGGCATTAGCATTTGTCGGTATACCTTTACCGGCATTTGCCGGTTTACCCGTTCTCCTCACGTCACGACAAACAGCGGCAGTTCCAATGTCCGGCGTTCGGCGGAAGAACTTATTAAAAGTGTTTTAAAAGATTAAAGAAAGAAAGATAAAGGGAAAAATAATTAATTAATTGAGGTAGCTTTGATGAAACTCCAAAAATCAAACGTATCCGTGTATAAAATAATACAAGAAAGGTGATAGAAGACCTAAGACTACCTCATTACTAAGAATTTGGTTATTTTTCTAAAGAAATCCACGAATGAAAAGAATGAGAAGTTGGACAATTAAATTAGTATCCAATAATTGGTTAAAACTTAAATTATAATTCAAAAATACGTCCCATGTTGCAATCTCCATTGTTGATTGTCTCCTTATAATCCAACATGTGACCCTCCATTGTCTACCGTTCACACCCTTTGGCTAATTCGAAAACTAAATTCGGGACATTAACTGCATTATTTTATTATAAAAATGAATTTGTGCAACCAAATTCATTTTTGATCATAATTACGAAAATCGGCTTATACATTTATGTGTGTATATATATACTATCTTAGTTCTTGATCGTTCGACTCAAATATTAAATTTAAGGCTTTTATATATCGCATAGATATAAATCTTCAATACTATCTGAGTTTCAAACTTTCAAACCAATAATGTTTGTTATTTTTTTATAAGATGTATAATGTTTGTTTGGATTATAACAAGTGTAATATTCATCACATATCACAAACTACTTTTTTTTTGTCGGCACATATTACAAACTTCTAAACGAAATAAGTAAAGATGATATAATATGGTAGACATAAAACAAATTAAAATTGTATCATATTATTTGTGATTGTTAAGTGATCATTGAGTAAACCTATAAAATAAGTCGGCCCAAGAAAAAATACCTATTCTCTCTCTCATCAAAATGTCCTTATTATAAAATCCATCCAAAGACACCAAACACTTCTCCACATCATTGCATTTCTTTTTCTTTTTCCTCAACCACTATTTCCTAGTTCGCTCGTGCACATATCAGACGATCCCAATTCTAAAATCATCACTACAAAAACGATACAAAAGATAATTAAACAAGAGAGTCCTTCTTCTTTTTCCGTTGTACAAGATAACATAAAATCATAATCTTTTTGCTTAATCGAGATGGCAACTTCTGGCAACAGTACAACAGCAGGGACAGGTTCACCCTGCGGTGCATGCAAGTTCCTGAGGAGGAAGTGTGCATCAGATTGCATATTCGCACCTTACTTCTCATCGGAGCAAGGAGCAGCAAGATTCGCGGCTATTCACAAGGTGTTTGGAGCCAGCAACGTGTCTAAGCTCTTACTCAATGTCCCAATCCATGATCGATGTGAAGCTGTTGTCTCCATCGCCTACGAAGCTCAGGCTCGTCTTCATGATCCTGTTTATGGCTGCGTCTCTCATATTTTTGCCCTCCAACAACAGGTAAATTAATTGAATAATCACTAGTACGTAACGTAGTCCATCAATTTTTTTATAGTCACTGTAGATTTTTTGTGTGGTCGTTGATTGGTATGATATAGTGCATGGAGTTAGATTTCCAAGAAAATCTTGAGGAATTAATATCAACAAAGTTACCCACAAAATTGTTTGTTTTCACACTGATATTTTATAAGATTTTAAATTATACAGTTTATATATAGGAAACGTTACATCAATAAGTCATCATTTGAATCAATTTAACAATTAGCGTTTTGTTTGCTTATACATTAGGTGGCTTACTTGCAAGCACAAGTCATGCAAATGAAGGCACAGATCGGCGGCCATCAGACGTCAGCCGCCGGAGATCTAAGAAACAACTCGGAAAGTACTCACCAATTCACGACGTGGCAACAAACTTGTGAGTCTCCGATCGGCAGTGCATACGCAATACCATATGACCATCATCAAAATCCTTACCACGGTCACGTAAACCCTAATAATCCGGTCTCGCCACAGAGCTCTCTAGAAGATTCATTCAGCAACACGAGCAGTGACGTCACTACTACAGCTAACGTGCATGAGACTTATCAAACCAGGGGTGGCGCATACGGTCACGGTGGATTAGGGTTTCACGAAGGGTATCCTAACAAAAAGAGATCAGTGAGTTATTGTAATAGCGATTTAGGTGAGCTTCAGGCTTTGGCTATTAGAATGATGAAGAATTAAGATAAGTTGGTAAGTTATTTGGTCATACGCCAAAAAATGAGATGCTTTTTGATTTTGACAACAAACAAGAAAGATAATAAACCGTTGGATGTTCACATGCTTTCATCAGTAAACATGTTTACATGCATGTTTGTTTTGCAGCTGGTAGCGAATTTCAAGTCAGTAATAGAAATGCATCTGCGTTGGCTCTTTGTATGTGTTTGTTTAACGTTAATTCACTAAATCCCATAACTTGCTAACAAAGCTGTCTTTTATCATTAAGTAGAGCGATCGAATAGATAGGTTAAATAGAGTATGAATCTAAATTTTAGATTTTTTTAAGAAAAATATAAAAACTAAAGTCTCAATTTTTATTTTTTGATATATACTTTCTAAATTTAATGCTTATAACTTCAAAAAAGCGTTAAACATATAAAAACCAAGTTATTAAATATACCATTAATATTTGTTGAATAAGGTGTAAATTTCTTTTTGAGACTAGCACTGCTTGCAAATATAATAAATGTGGACGTGTGTGACATACAAGGGTTGACTTTGATTAACACACATATACAAACTTATTGACAATCTTATTTTCTTTTTAATTTTGATTACTACATACTGTATTCCTTATATACATAGTTTACTTTTTTTTTACTTGGTTCGTTACGATTTCTGTGTGGAAGTGTCTTGAAGATAAAACATACTTTAATTAGCATATAACTGTTCACAATCTTTTGCAAAACGAGGAAGCATAAAAAAGACAGTTGAGCGTGAAGTATTGTAGTAAAATTTAATCTCAGCAAAAGAACGCTTTTCTTACTTCTCTATGAATTGACGTGCGTATATGCTTGTAATTTAATGTCAACTAACGATTTATTTTTAGCATCTCTATGAAGGTTAAAACCTAAAAGGTATTATGGTCTAAACGATAAAACTAATAAAAGTGAACTCTATTTCGGTACGAGAAACTAATTTTATAAGGAATGATCGAATAAAGATTAAATCGAACAGTTGATAAAACAAATCTCTCTAAAGAACATTTGAAGAACATAGGAGGGATGTATGTTATGGTTGTCTGTCAGAGAAGCTAATCATCGAAAATCATTTCATCGACAAATTTATTTCTAATATATAAATGGACCACGCTTTAATTTTGCATTTAATAAACATGTTTACCTAACATTAACTAAGCAGTGTCTAGTTAATTATGATAGCACCAATACCCCATATAAGTTGTAGTGGTCTTATTAGACAAAATGTCCCCCAGATTGTATGCAATCTAGTAAATTCAATTCATCTTAATGATCTTTTGCTTTGCCAACTCTAATAGTAAATGATAAATCTCATCTAATTCTAGCCCGATTCCCCACTAAGAAGCTTCCATTGTTGTCCACACCTAAGGTCACAAGTGCTCTTTTAGTCTTTTGCGAAAGGACTTTGTGGTTTGTAATCTCGAGGTAACCTAATCAATGCATTTGAACAAGTTATTAATAGAAGGAAAACAAATACCTGATCAATAAATACTTCAAGAAGAGGTTTTTAAAAGTTCATCACCTCACCTGGTAAATTAGACTGACAGTTAGTTATTAACAAAGTGTAATCATAGAGTGTATTTTCTTCTGCTACACAGTAGTATCCAGTGAGATGTGTCACATTATTAGGTTATTAATTACTTGATCATTAATATATCGACATGTTAGATACACGGAAATTGTTTCCAAACCAAGTTTTGATCAAATTATCAAAAGGTTTTTATGGTTGTGACTTGAGAGTTGTGAACATTAATTCGGCAATGCCTATTTTTTAGTCAAGCGGTTTATGCATATGGTTTATGAAATATTATCTGAACTTTTCGAGCCCATTACCAAAGACCAAACTTTTTAACTCTTTCTAGTATTATAAAGAACAGATCAAAAGAGGGTGGTCAAAGCATGACATCACCACTTAGATATTTATCAAGAAACGTAGGTTCATTATTCACATATTCCCATGTACGTTTGATAAAAATACATTAAAACAACACTGAGAAAGAAAAGAAAGTTCATGATCGATGATTAATTGGATGTACCATCTGTACTACTACTATTTTTAAAAGAATATAGTAATTTCGCGATCTTGTTAGTGCGTTTTTTTAAAGTTCAGTGACGTGTAAAACTGACATGGAATAAACACGAACTGTTGTCATCTTGTCAAATGCAGTAGTGGATTGAAACGGCAGGAATTAACGCACATGGGCCCGTAGCTTAAGTACAATCAAAGTCTTTGACCATTGAAATATCACACGTGCGGCTTTCCAAAAAGATGCTGGACTCACCTCACAGTTTCTTTCATAGGCCATATGTGGCATACAGCAACGATAAATGATTAGTATATTCTCATGAGTTGAAGTTAATACAATTTTTGTGTAATGAGGGATGATGCAGAACAGTGTGTTCCCCACAAACCAGTACTAATGAAAGTAGATTAACATATAATTACCAACTAAAAGCCGCTATTATCATGAAGTAGCAGTGATAAACTGATATTTTATTCTTATAAGTGTTTGCTGACAAACTGTTATCATTGAACCATACACACTCTTCAAGCTGTAGTAAACTGATAACTAATTCTTTAAATTTTTTGCTGTTGACAAAAAAAAAAAGTTCACAGACAAAATAAAAACATTGTGTTCTAACCAGAGATGAGATCACTTAGATCTCTTGTTAAAAATGCTTTCGTCGACGAAACCAGGAAACCCTTTGAGAACATCTCGCAGAGCGTAGTAGTGGCTATCACATTTATGATCTGTAATGAAATTACCTGAGAGAAGTATCCTCTGAAAATGTTGTCCTGGATCTCTCTTCCATAGATTAAAGTATTCTACTTTCTTCCCTGCTGAGCTTTTTTTGTTTCCTCTTACGTTCCTCATTAGATAGTATACCTCCCCCGGTACATACAACTCTTCTGGTAACTTAACAACATCTTTAGTTGTAGTTTCAGTGCTCAAAGAATCAGACTGATGGTTCTTGGGTGAAGGAAGTTCTGATGAGAATCAAGAAAAATAAAGAGATTAATGAAGATGATACGTCTTCTAGTGATGATACTCAATAGTTACCAGGATAATCGTTCTTGTTTCCAAAATTTGCATACTCAGAAACTTTACGAGCTGCGTCTTGCACGGAGGAGACGACTTGTTTAGCGTTTGTTACCAAGTCTAACACGCTCTTCCACTCTTCCTTCTCAATCACACTTGTCCTGGATTCACAAAGCATGTCAGTGAACAAACTGATTGTAGAAGAAGAGCTATGAAGTGTTTTGCTTACCAATCGGTCTGAAGTATTTCATTTCTCAATCTCGCTAGGGAAGCTGTACTCAGTCTAGGTATAATATCATCCTGACCATAGCGGTAATGCTGTGAGTGTAATCTTAACAAAACTTGATCAAGATAATAGAGACTTTACTTTTGTTCAGACCTGCATAACAATAGTTGTCACAAACTCAGAGCAGTTCTCTGCAAGCTCTCTGGAAACACAAGGAGGTGTCGCATATCCAACAGCTGAAATGATCTCAGGGTCGAATCCCAGCTCCTTTCTTGGCATTTTCCTCAGCATAATCGCCATTAAAGAAGCTATAGCACCTCCCAAAGAATGACCAACAAGCCTTAACTTGTATCCCTGTCATTTCATTTCAATATCGAATCCATCCTTCTCATGCCATATAAACAACAATGATTCATTACACTCACCTCGTATTTCTCTAAGCATCTTCTTATAGTTTGCAACTCGTGATTAAGAAACCACCGTGCAGCTTCAGCGGTTCCAAAGTGCGTCGAGTATCCTTCAAACGTGACCTCATCATCACTTGAAGAGACAATATCAGTAATAATATCATAGATAGTATGCGTCCCGCGTATCCCAAAGACTACAAGCTTCCTCCGATGATCAACTCCCACGTAGTAACCAGGTCTCATAACACTTGAATCTTTCACAAATTTAAGAATGTTGTTCTCTCGGAGCATGGTGTTCTTCGCAAGACCACTCACACTATCCCTGTAACAGCCTTTGGCTAACTCGGCGTTGTATATGAGATCAGAAACCTGCAAAAAAAGAGAGAGATGCTTAAAAGTTTTGGTTAAAAAGGGAAGTTAGTGACAAGGATAATGTTTCTCCTTACGGTTGATTCTGAAACAACTTGAACTCCCTTGACGTCCTCAAAGGGAGACAAGGATGCTTGTCTAAGGTAGATAAGATAGAGACCGATTGTAAGATCACCGAGAGTCCAACCTTCAATCCCTAGCTTACTCTTTTGAATACTAGCAATGATCTCAGATAAAGATCTACTACCAGGCTGTGATTTCTCTCCTATCAGAGAGAAACACATTAAACACAGTCTCAGTATTATGAAATGGAACCAAGTAACTATATATACTATGTAGACCTGTAGGAAGAGCCCATCTACGAAGTTGAGTAGCAGGTTCAAGTGCTCTAGTGAGCCAAGCTAAGTCTAGTTTCCACTTTCCATCACTTGTTGTATCTTCATCACCAGAGCTATCACTCTCGATTCCTGATTCAGCTCGTCTTCTATTCTCTAACTCAGAACTATGTGAATCTTCTAACTCCTTGCCTGATTCTGGTAACCTTGAATGAAACCGCTTGATAACATTGTAGAGTACTCCTTGATACAACTCTCGTCTCTTCTTCAACGGTGAATCATGATGCACAACTGAAAATATTACATTAAAAAATAAAAAAACAGAAACTTTATAATAAAGTTCAAAACTTTGTTATATCAAAACAGATTAAAACACTCAAGTGGAAAGAAACATCAAGAAACGAAACAACGAGTACTAATTTGACATTCAATATTTGCATTCATCGAAAGTGAATTCATCAGTCTCTTATGTTTAAGAGATTGAGAGTAAATTAGAGAGCTTACAGAAATTCCATAAAAGACGATTCAATGACTTGTTGTTAGCCATTTGGAGTTGTTCCAGAAAAATGGATTGTACAGCCAGAAACGACGACGTGGAAATGGGCGTGTGGCAGTATTTATCGGTGCGTGCCGTTAGCTAAACCGCTAGGCCGAGCATGTCGGAAAACGAAAACGGAGGAAAAGTATCACACCGACTGACTGATCTACCGTCATCGAGACTTTTCCAGGCTTCTAAAAGAGTAATTGGGCTTAGTTAGGCCTACTTTTGGGCCATTATGATGGGGTGAATACAAGAACACCCCTATTTAAGAGTTCAAATGTGGAGATTCACACGGAAACCAAAAAAAAAAAAAAATTCTATGAACCCTTCTCTCGAAAAATTTTTTCGGGTAAACCTCTCTCTTCTAAGGTTCAACACGTGGCGGTCCGAGATTAATCTAGATTTTTTTTAAAAAAAAATCAAAAAAAAAATAGAAAAATTTTAATAATAAAAAATTGATTCAATCAACTCCAATAATCAACTCCAATTATTGGAGGTTCATTGATGTGGATAATTAATCAACCAGGGTATTTTGAGTAACAGAAATCAAAGCAAATCATCTGTTTTTTTTTTTTTTTACTGAGGAAAGAAAAACAAAACTTACGGTTACAAACTTATTGTTAACATATATTAACAGAAGACCAAATCTATCAAACTACTTATAGTTTCAGTGTAATAACAGTTGTGACATAAGATAATAAAATTACATGGGAAGTATATGAACCATGAGCAAAAGATTAAATGCCCCTACTGATTATCTTAACACAACACAAAAAGCTAGCTTGCAACGTTCAGAAACAAAGTCATAACCATATTTGTTAAAAAAGTTGAATCTCTACTTATTAAAATTCAAAAATCAGCATTCAAATGAAAAAAAAAACCTTAACAGCGTTTCTTAAAAAAAAAAAAAAAACCATATTAACCTAATCAACCAACAGAAACCCATCAGCACAAGATTTATCCTTTTTCTTGTCAAGTTCAATTTTGACATGGGAGACCATCAACTCAATGTTCTTGATACTTTGCTCGAGTTGTTGAATCAGAAAACCATTAACATCATCAGCTTTCTTCTTCTCATTGGAGATCTCTTCCAGCTTTGTAATCAAACTCTCCAGCTTGAATCGTAGACCGTTGACATGTTCCTCAACTCGTTGGATTCGAGAGTCAAAGACACTAGTCTCATATGATTTTTTCCTCTCCAAGTCACCAAGGATCGTATTCAAACGCTTATTAAACCCCAATTCCATCAGCGCAAGATTCTTGACACTTTGCTCTACTTTTTTGGCAAGGGACTCATTAATATCCTCTGCTTTCTTCCTCTCCAAAGAGTCAAGCTTGAAGGCCAATTCCTTCAGCTCAAGATTCTTGACACGTTTCTCTAATTGTTTGGCACGAGACTCATTAGTATCATCTGCTTTCTTCCTCCCCAAGGAAACCTCATCATGCTTCAGCTCAAGATTCTTGACACGTTCCTCTATTTGTTTGGCACGAGCCTCATTATCATCATCCCATATCTTCCTTCCCAAGGAAACCTCATTAAGCTTCAGCTCAAGATTCTTGACAAGTTTCTCTACTTGTCGGGCACGAGACTCATTATCATAATCCGATATCTTACTCCCAAAGGAAAGATCATCGAGCTTCAGCTCAAGATGCTCGACACGGTCCTCGATTTGTTGGACCTTTGACCCATCAACATCTGGTTTATTCCTATCCAAAGAAACCTCCTCTAGCTTAGACTTCAACCAGTCAAGCTTGAAACCTACGTTCATCAGCTCACTCAACTCGCTGCTAGCCTTGCTCAGTCTAGTCTCTGAAAGGCTCATTGGAGGCTTATTAAGTGTTTTAATGACCCTGAGGAGGACATTCATGTATGCTGTCTTCACTTCTTGGTTCGTTGGTTTGAAATCTTTTGCAAATTCTGGGTGCTCTGTGAATATCTTTCCCACTTTAGTAACCTGCCATGCAAAAAAAAAAACATGTTTATGTTACAAAAAAACATGTTTATGTTACACTATAAAGCAAGTGGTTAAATACATAAAACAGATGCATTTAACTTAATTACCTGAGAAGCAAAAACTTGAAAACCGTTGATATCAACAGTCTTCTGCTTCTTGTTGTCGGATACATCTCCACCTTCTCCATCAAAAGCTGCTTCAACATTAACATTGATGTAGACTTCAATGATGAGTTTATCATTCTCCAAAACCCCTTTTTCCTGAAACTTGCTTAGAGGCAAGAGATTCCGGTAACCCCATGATGGAGTCTTAGCGCAAAACGAGTTGCCCATTGTAACTATGAAACATAAAAAAAAATCATAAAAACAATCATTAGATAAAAATTTTCACCGTGAAGTTGCGTAGAGGCTAGAGATATGATTATGGTACTATTGTGTTCAATAAAAAAAAAATATTATGTTCCTAAATAAGCTAATTCCAAAAGAGATAAATTCTTTTTTTTTTTGAAAAAGATCTTATTGTTACGTTCTAAACACGAATTATATTAAACGAAGAGGGTCAAACGTCATTACTTGGTGATCTGCGGAGTTCTTCGTCGGATTGATTCAAGAGAACGAAGTAATGGTCAATACTCCTTTTCCATCCAGTTGGCAACTTTGAAGAATTTGCAACGCTAAGGTACACAGACAAGTAACCATCAGCAGAACGAGCTCCCTTAGGATAAATGGAGAGAAACCTGAATTAATAATATGAATATTACTCAAGACATGGAGAGTTTAACAAAAGCAAGTTATATAACGATGCGATTCTTTTTCGTTTTTTTTTTACCATTCACATCCGCCGCACTTGAATATGGTAGACGATATGACACCTTCCTTCTCTGACAAGTTATCTATCGCAAACCTAAAACTCGGCTTTTGGTTCCACATATCTGATTCTGACCAAGCCCTTTCCTAGTTTCTTACTTCGAGCAAATTAAACACGAACTTTTTAGAAGCTCTTTGTTGGTTACGTTCGGTGGTAAATAATCCCTTTTGTTTATATAGAGGAGGCTAGGTTAAAACTTCTCAAAAGCCCTAGCTCAAAAGGTAAACTGAATTATAAATAATTAACTAAATCTACTACTTAACTATACCATTTTTTTATTATTCTTTTAGTAAAGTATAACTAATTTCGTCATTGATTTTATTTTCCTGGTATCCAAAATATATAATATAATTAGTTTTCCATATACTTTTCCTATTTTTAATAATTAAAAATTTTCCCTTTTATCAAATTAAAATTATTTGACTATTTATTTTATTTTTTATTTATAAGTTATGTCAATTAAATTTCAGTTTCTTTTTACTTTGTATTTTTCCAAATAACATATATAATAAAAATAAAAAGGTTATAAAGTTTAAAGGGGTCCCAAGTTTAAAAATATATATATTTATATATAATGTGATTTCATAAAAAAATAGTTGTTAAAAATCTTAATAATTAAAAAAATCTTCTCTTTAAAAATAATATTAACTGCATGTAGTGTAGATTTTAATAAACAGTTGTAGTTTAGGTTTTTTGGTTTCCAAGAGATGTTTATCCCTGTATATGGATACGAACAGCAATTTCACCGTCCGATACTCTAAAATACTCAGGATATCTAAACCATTCTATCCCTATTTATATATTAAAAATTAATGTCAAATTAAATGTGAAAATTTGGTTAGCTACGAGCAGAATCGATTTGTTGGTTAATTATGGGATTAGATCAGAAAGAAAATAACACTTTTGATTATGTCGAATCTCTAGACTATAGGATTCACATTGCAAAACTAAAAACCAAAACACGAGAAAAATGAAGCGACATTAATCAATAAACTAAAAACTTAATCAAGCAAAGCACTAGTCGACCAACAAAAACCCTTCAGCAGTAGATTTGTCCTTCTTCTTGTCTACTTCAACTTTGAGACACGACATCATCAGTTCAATGTTATTGAATCTTTCCTCAAGTTGTTGGCACCGAGCATTATCAGATGTCTTCCTCTCTGAGGACACTTCATCAATCTTTGTATCCAAACATTCCATCTTGAGTTCCACTTCGCTTGACAAGTCCATGACATATTCCTTGAGTTGGACTCGAGTCTCAACAGCATAATCAAGCTTTGTACTCACAAAGTCCAGCTTGCCTCCTATATCCATCAGCTCAAGATTCTTGATGCGTTCCTGGAGTTGTTGGACCCAAGACGCACCAGCATCATAATCTTTCTTACTCTCCAAGGCAATCTCCTCAAGCTTCAACTTCAAACTGTCCAGTTTAGAGTCTGTTTTCATCACCTCAATGTTCTCGACACGTCTCCCGAGTAGTTGGGCCCGAGACTCAGAATCATCATGATATCTCTTACTCATCAAGGAAACCAAATCAAGCTGCGTCTTTAAACTGTTCAGTTTCAACCCTAATTCCATCAGCTCAAGATTCTTAACGCTTTCTTCAAGTTTTTGGAAACGACACTCATCAGCAGCATGTGATTTCTTCCACTTGGACTTTAACTTCGAACAGTCCTTCTTGAATCCTGATACCTTTGGTTCAAGTTTCTTGATGCGTTCCTCGAGTTGTTGCACCAAACCGTCTGCCTTCTTCCTCTTGGAGGAAACTTCATCAAACTTTGACTTCAACCATTCCAGCTTGACTCCTACTTCCGCAGTCTCCCTCAACTTGTTGCAAGCGTTGCTTAGTTTATTCTTGTATTCTTTCTTCGCCACGTGCTCTGCGAATGTCTTTTTCACTGAAGCAACCTGCCAAAGAAAACGTGTTTTGTTACTCATCCATATAAGTCATATGTTTTTATTCAAGAAAAATAAAAAAAAAGACGTATCCGTATTTGACTTACATGAGAAAATAAAGCTTGAAAACCATTGATATCACCGACTTCTCCATCAGAAGCTTCAGCAACTTTGATGTAGACTTCAATGATGAGTTTATCATTCTCCAAAAACCCTTTTTCCTGAAACTTGCTTAGAGGCAAGGTCTTTCGGCAACCCCACGCTGGAGTCTCAGCGCAAAACAAGTGGTTTTCCTTTCCCAATACTGTGACAAAAAGTTAAGTTCTTCATCAATCACATATACTTAACGCTTAATTGCTACCTCTTCAAGATTCAAACATTAGTTTAGGCATATTGCATTATCAACGAGTCCTAGGTAATATCTAGTCTCTCAGGGCTAAACGTTTGTAAATTCCAAAAAAAAAAAAAAAAGAATAAAAGAAAAGAGGTCAAACAAGAAAAGATATATAACTTACTTGGTGATTTGTAGAGTTCTTTGTTGGACTCATTAAGCACAAGGAAGTAATATTTAGCACTTCTCTTCCAACCAGTTCGCAAGGTTTCACGATTTGCAACGTAGAGGAACAAACACAACTGATCATTATTGTCTCCCTTGGGGTCAATAGCAAGATACCTGAAAAATATAAGACAAAGAGATTAAACCCTTCTGTAATCAGTGCTAGGTACGAAAAGAAAACAATAATTTAACCAATCTCCGAGAACATGAAGACACAGAGAGTTCAACAAGCTAAAAGTTTAAGTTTAGATCCTTCTATATGTCTTACCATTCGCATCCGTCAGCCTTGAAGTTCTCAGACACTATGACCTCTTCCTTGTCCGAGAAGTTATCTATCTCAAACCTGAAACTATCCCACATATTCGACATTGAAAATCTGGTAGATTTGATTGTTTCTCGCAAAGAAGAATTTTTCAAGAAACTTTGTATGATGATTAAATTCAGGTATAGAGAGTCCTGTATTTATAGTGGAGGACGCAAAAATAAAAAAGGAAAAGTTCCTTAAAACCCTAGCCCGATAGGAATAAGAATACTCAAAGCAAAATAATTAATTAAACTAAAATATTTTTCTCTTTATATGATAATACCAAAAAAAGTAAAGTTTTTAGTGTTTTTTCCGTTATGATTATCGTTAAGAAATTTCCATTATCTTTAAGTAAATATTTTATATTATAGATATATTAATTTTGAGAAACTTCACGCCCACGCAAACCCACAAGAACCTGTGATTCGAAACGGAAAACCTCAAAAATATTTCCCATGTATAAGTTTTCAAACTGACTAATAAATTAATCAAAATGAGAGATCTTTGTGGTCACCTTCCTGGATACAAACTCACGATATTAAACTGGTGACAGCACGCAGGAAGAAACACTCGACTTGGTATTCCAGCAGAAGTATAACAATTGCAAGCTTTGTATGATAATGGCCACTGGCTTCTATCATCGGCAAGGTCTGAAAATCAGGTTAGCATACTCGCGTTACTGCTGAGTAACTAGTACGAATGGGAAATAGATGGCCTTGGTTAGTGCAAAATACTCTACTGGTCGATCTAGTTTATCAAAAAATTAAGAAACAGTGTTGACCTGCCATGGACAAAAGCGGTTTGGTTCAATGGAGGTATCCCAAAACATTGTTTCCAACTAAGTAAAATTATTTATCATTTTAATTTTAACCAAACTCATATTAGTAATTTTAACCACAGAAAATATGTTTATAACTAAAGTAAAATATCATTTATTTGTAGTCATTTTCCTTGTTTAAATTGTTGAGCATTTGGCTCAGCAATAGTAAATACCTTTTAATTTTTTTTCAGATAATTATAAAAATAATTTAATTTTTTTTTATATTAATGTTCTAACGTTATTATAGATCCATCCGGTTTAGAACTCGGTATAAATAATGATAAAAGTGTTGTTTGTGTAGTCAAGTTACATCCATGTGCCCCTTCCATATTGATGGTGACACTAATCAATGGAGATAAAGATTTAGAGCAAGAGATTGTTTCTCAGGATTGAAATCAAAGATTAGACCAAGAAGGAGGAACACTTTAAACCTAAAACATGATTCAAAGAAAACGTAAGTGATTCAGATACAGAGAATGAAACACACAACCATGTCGTTTTATTTAGAAGCCGAATCTCTACATCAAGCAAAAGCCTAGTTGACCAACAAAAATCCTTCAGCAGTTGATTTGTCCTTCTTCTTGTCTAGTTCAATTTCAAGACACGACACCATCAGCTCAACGTTCTTAAAGCTTTCCTCAAGTTGTTGGAACCGAGACCCATAAGCTTCATCAGATCTCTTCTTCTCTAAGGACATTTCCTCAATCTTTTTATTCAAACAATCCAGGTTGAATCCCAGTTGTTTGACACGAGACTCAACAGCATTATCAAGCTTTGAACTCAAACAGTCCACCTTGAATCCTATATTCATTAGCTCAATATTTTTGATGCGTTCCTCGAGTTGTTGGACCCGAGCCTCATCAGCATTATCAAGCTTTGTATTCACATAGTCCAGCTTGAACCCTAAATCCATCAGCTCAATTTTCTTGATGCGTTCCTCGAGTTGTTGGACCCGAGACTCATCAGCAGCATTATCAAGCTTTGTATTCACACACGCAAGCTTGAATCCTAAATCTATCAGCTCAAGATTCTTGACACGTTCCTCGATTTTTTGGGCCCGAGACTCACCAGCATCATGTGATTTCTTCTTCTCCAAGGAAATCTCCTCAAGCTTGGACTTCAAACTGTCCAGTTTCAACACTAATTCCATCTGATCAAGATTCTTGACGCTTTCTTCAAGTTTCTGGACTCCAGACTTATCAGCATCATATGATTTCTTCAGCTCCAAGAACATCTCATCAACATTTGACCTCAAACACTCCTTCTTGAAGCCTGATTTCATCAGTTGAAGATTCTTGATGCGTTCTTCTAGTATTTGGAGACAATATCCATCAGCAGCAAGTGATTCCTTCCTCTCCAAGGAGTTCTCCACCTCAAGCTTTGACTTCAAATTTTCCTTCTTGAAGCCTGATACCATTAGTTCAAGATTCTTGATTCGTTCCTCTAGTTGTTGGACGAAAGACTCATCAACACCGTATGCGTTCTTCCTCTTGAAGGTAACTTCATCAAACTTTAATTTCAACCAGTCCAGCTTGACTCCTACGTTCACAAGCTCACTCAACTTGTTGCAAGCTTTGCTTAGAGTATTCATCACGTACTCTGTGATTATCTTATCCACTGAAGCAACCTGCCAAGAAAACGTGTTTTTTTCGTTACTCAGTCCTATAATCAAGCAAATGTTTTATACAAAAACAAAAGAAGAGACATTACATAAGTAGCAAAATCTTGAAAACCATTGATATCTCCGCCTTCTCCATCAAAAGCATCAACAACTTTGATGTAGACTTCAATGATGAGTTTATCATTCTCCAAAAACCCTTTTTCTTGAAACTTGCTTGGAGGCATCCGGTAACCCCATGATGGATTCCAAGCGCAAAACAAGCTGCTTGCCTTTCCAACTACAAAAAGACAAAAAAAAAAGTTCAGTTCACATACTTACGTGTATATAGTTGCTACCTCTTCAAGATTCAAACATGAGTTTGTGGGATATTATCATCATATTCTCTAGTTGACAAAAAAAAATCATCATATTCTCTAATTAGTTTGCATATCTTTGCTGAAATAAACTATCAACACTTCTCAGCAGACCTCAATTCATATCCAAGAGACTTAGGTTTCTATCCCTAGATGCTTTTTTAATTTCCTTTTTTTTTTGGAACCAACAGGTGCTCTCTAGTCTCTTAGTGCTACACGTTTGTAAACTCCAAACACATGAAATTTCAAAACAAAAAGAATCAAAGGAAAAGAGTCAAACAAGGAAAGATGTAACTCCATTACTTGGTGATCTATAGAGTTCTTTATTGGACTCATTCAGCACAAGGAAATAATATTTTGCTCTTCTTTGCCATCCAGTTCGCAAGTATTTACGGTTTGCAACGTTGAGGAACAAAGTCAAGTGATCTTTACAACGACCATAAACTCCCTTTGGATGAACTGAAAGATACCTGAAAAAAATGTGTAAAACAAAGTTGAAACCCTCCTAGCTAGCTAGGTATAAAAACAATCAAATAATTAATCTCCGAGAACATAAAAAACAGAGATATATATTACTTTAACAAGTTAAGTTTAAGTTTAGATTCTTCTATGTTTTACCATTCGCATTCGCCAGCCTCGAATACATTCGACGCTATGACAGCTTCCTTGTTCGAGAAGTTACTTATCTCAAGCGTGAAACAAGGTTTTTGATCCCACATATTTGATCCCAAAAAAAAATCTGGTAGGTTTTGTAGTTTCGAGCAAAGACGAATTTTTCAGAAACTTTGTATGATGATAATTTCACGCATAGGAATCTTTTATTTATAGAGAGGACGCAAAAAGAAGAAAGGAAAACTTCTTAATTTGAAACTTTTCTCAAAAAAAAAAGAAAACTTCTTTGAAACCCTAGCCCAATAGGAATACTCAAAGGCTCAAAGTAAAATAATTAATTAAACAATAAATATATATATACTCTTTATAGGATAAGACTACAATTAAAAATGTAATTTCTCTAGTGCCTTTCCATTATAATTATCATTAAGCGAACATCTGCATCAAAAGTTTTAAAGAGGTCACACAAATCCCCCAAAAAAAAATTAATATGTTAATCTGATTTTTATGAATCCGCGTTGTATGAGTTCATTGGGATGAACCCGTATCAAAATTATTCGCAAGCCTCACTAACACGTGGTGGCCTACGATTGGTTGGTTGATTATTTGTTTTTTTTATTTAAAAAAAAAATCAAATGAAAAACAAAATTAATAAAAGGATTTAGGGAATAAAGAGTTTTACTGATCGCATGCTCTAATCTTGAGGAAAATATTGTATATTGAAGAATATTAAAGAACCATTGAAACCTAACATCTCTTTCCCAGTTACATCTCCTTCATGAACAACTTCAGCCACTTTTATACTTTGAGGCAACGTTTTGAAAACCCCACTTTTATATCTGAGGCAACGTTTTGAAAACCCTATCCCGGGAACTAGTCACATTTTTTTTAACAAGTCACATTCTTCTGTAAGAAAGAAAGACATATTGGTAGATACATTTATTTATTTTTATTTTTCACCAATAAGCATGTTGTGAATAACTACCAGAGTTAGACGCGAATAAATCAAAATTTGTAGGATTTTTGTTACAATATGATTAAAAAACTGGATCCAGTTAGGCGGCCAATCACGGATATATGAGATTAGGATTCAGAAGCCAAATTTCTAAACTATTAGGATTCAGAAAGCAAGATAAAAAAAAACACAAAAACAAACCATTAATTGCAGACTCTTGTTATGCCTCGTTAGACCAACAAAAATTCATCGGAAGAAGACTTAGCCTTCCCCTCGTCCAGTTTTGCTTTGAGATCGGACACCATCGTCTCAAGATTCTTGACGCTCTCCTCAAGTTGTTGGACTCTAGACCCATCAGCATCATCGGCTTTCTTCTTGTCCAAGGAAACATTCTCAAGCTTCGACTTCAAACAGTCCATCTTGAAGCTTGACTCCATCACCTCAAGGTTCTTGACGCGTTCCTCAAGATTTTCGACACGAGGCTCATCAGCTTTTGCTTTCTTCCTCTCCAAAAGAACCTCATCAACCTTTCTCTTCAAAGAGGCCATCTTGATTTTCTTCTGCTCAAGCTTCTTCACACGTTCCTCAAGTTGTTGGACCCTGGAACCATCAGAACCATCTTTCTTCCTTTCCAAGAAAATATTCTCAAGCTTTGACTTCAACCAGTCAATCTTGAAACCCACTTCTTCCAGCTCACTCAACTCGCCGTGAGTGGTGATTAGCTCAGACTCTGAGTGGCTCTGTAAAGGCTTGTTTAGTCTATTGATGACACCAAGAAGGACATTCATGTACGCTGTCTTCACCACTTGGTTCTTTGGTTTGAAACCTAATGCAATGTCTGGCTGCTCTGCGAATATCTTCCTAACTGAAGCAACCTGCAGAGGAGATTATTTTATATATATCAAATGAAGCAACCCTAAAATGCAGTTTTTTCATTAAAAAAAAAACAATTATCCTTGTAACTTACATGAGATGTAGAAACCTGAAAACCGTTGATATCCACTGTCTCCTTGTCTAATACATCTTCAATCACATTAATGTATACTTCAATGATGAGACTGTTCTTCTCTATAAAGCACTTCTCCTCAAGCTGGCTAAGAGGAAATGTTTTTTCGATGCCCCATGCTGGCTTCTCAGCGGTAAACACTGCGTTTTTTGCAACTGTGAAATTAAAAAAAAAAAAAAAAATTATTCATCATCAACGACATCTTTATAATTTCTAAGTCTTTAAGATTCAAACATTTTCACTAGTTTCTCAGCATACATTTATTTATAGCTCCAATAAACTCTTGGCCTCTCCCTATACACTTTTTAAAATATATACACTAAACCTAGCTTTCTAGTTCATATTAGTTAAGTATATTCCAAGAAGAAAAAAAAAGGAAGGATAAAACTTCGTTACTGTCAGATCTGCAGCACTCTATATTGCAATGATTCAACGCGGTGAAGTAAAAATTAACATTCCTTTTCCATCCAAGTGGCAATGATTTAGGGTTTGCAACTCGCAGGAACACAGATACGTGATCATCAGCGTGACGATCTGATCCCTTGGGATAAACGTTGAGAAACCTGTAACAAATATTAAACCCTTGTTTAACTAGTGCTACGTATATATAATCGAATAACATTAAGAGATGTTTTAAAGAGTCTTCTTGTTGTTAATTTTACCATTCGTATCCGCCAGCAACGAATACCTTAGACAGTATGCTAGCAGCTTCCTTCTCCTTGAACTTCTCTATCTCAAACCTGAAGCTTGGCTTTGGACTCCACATGTTTTGATCAAACTGGTTTTAATCGTGGTTCGAGACGAGACAAACTTTCAGAAACTATGTTTGAGGTTTTTCACGCATGAAGAAGCCGTCTGCTTATATAGGAAGCAAAACAAAAAGCGAACAAAGTCTGAAAACCCTAGTTCAAAAAGCGAACAAAATTGTTTTTTCCTTCTTCTTTTTTTTTCCTTTCCAAAACAAAAAAAAGGAAACCAACTCTTTTTTTTTTTAATAATGAAATAAGATCTATATTTATAAATAAACTAGGTGGACGGCCCACACGCATGTGCGGACATTAATATAATCTATACATTGCATGAATAAAAAACAATGTAAATGTATAAATATATTGTAATTTTCTTTCTCTTTTACATAGATACTCTGTTTTTAATATATTTTTCTATTTTACTCATTTCCTTTCTCCTTGTATTTTTTTACACATTCGTTTTGTTTCTTATGTATCTCTCTTTGCATTATTTTTGTATGTCTTTGTACACCTCTCTCGCTCTCTTTTTCTTTCTCTCTCTCTCTTAGTTGATCAAATAATCTCAAATTCTCTCAAAATTACATTCACTCTCTCACAATCATCTATATTCATTCTCATACCCTCGTCCTTAATATGATCCTCAATATTTCATTTTAAAACTCTTTCTATCTCTTTTTGGTTGCAAAATTTTCACCAGATTTTGTTAAATCTTCTAAACACTTTGACATAGTATTAATAAATGATTTCAGAATCTATCTCACTTATATTCGTTTCCATCTTCATTATGATCATAACCGACTCTCTAATCCTTATCATCACCATATCTCCCTCTCTTTCTCCATTTCTTACATATTTTTTTATTTAGAATTTAATATAAAATCACAATTGACTAACCAAATAAATTCAATGTCAAATTCTCTCCAATCTTCACACTATCTTATCAAACATTGATTCCTTTGACCAAGATTTTCATTGAAAAAATAAATATTTTATTATTAATTTTGTTTTTCTTTAATTACTTCATTACATACATATTTTAAGTAAATCAAAATATCTGTATTTCAAAAAATTAAATTTGATTAAATAATTATATAACATAAAATATCTTAATTCTTAAATGATGTGATGTCATTATTTTAGACATAGATTAATATTACTATGAGATTCAACAGTTTTAATATATCAAAATAACATGTTTCTAGTTGTATAAATTTTGTTATAACTTTTTATCATATATTTTTAAAGTTTACTACACCGCAAAAAATAATTATCATTATTTTAAAATAATTTCTTTTAAAATTAATTTGCGTTATATTTTGCATCTTCAACATTAACAATTTTATAACTTATCATTTATATTTATCTTCCTTACTCAATTTTTCCTTATGTTGTATAAACACCTAAAAATAATTAGTTTACAATTATATTAATAGGTAAAAAATATTTTGGTATACAAATAAAAAAATATGTATGTACAAATACAAAATAACAAAGAATACAACAAAATTTTTTATTATTATTCACTCATGTTTTTATTTATGTCTCTTTTATTTTTTTTTTCTTATTAAAAATAAACATGCCAATTTTATTATACTTAAAGGTATATGAATTATATGAATAGAATATTAACTCTAATCTTGTATTAATATAACGTTTTGATTTGTAATTTTATATTATAATAAAATTTTTATTTATTCATATTTTTTAAAATGACATACCATATAATTTTCTGTTTTTAAATATAAAAATACTTAACTAATTTTTGAAAGTGATAACTCAACCATACTATCGACAGTTATCTCTGGAAAATGATAGATTTTTTTAAAAACAATTACATTTGACTGTTTTGCATTCATTGAACATATTTTAAGAATACATATATATAGTGAGTGAGTATTAAAAATACTATTAGTTTTCTGTAACTTATGATTTTTTATCCACTATTAATAGAAAAAAAATTAAAATCGTTTATATACTTATTTCTATAATATAATATGTATTTATATGTATATTCTAAATTTTTATAATGGAATATGTGATATTTAATTGTTTCTATAAAGAAATTCTATTAATCCTATGTATTTAAGATGGTTAATTGTTATTTTGGTAATATATATTAGATTAGGTAATTCTAGGATTAGTTTCCTTTTTAAAAAAAACTTTAATTAAATAAATAAAAATTCAAATGCCAACAACTAATCAAATTAAGAGAATTAATTCTACATTGCACCTATAAATGACACGTAAGCAAAATTCATTAAAGTGACTTCTCTTTTAATGTATAGGGGGATGTTATAACTACGTCTAGATCTTATTTTTTTTGTTTGGGAATTAAAGAATAAATAGCCACTAGTTTCAAATTTATTATACAAAAATTCGCTGAGATATCTATTTATTTATATATAATCTCTATTATAAAAGATAGAAATTAAAAATAAATCACCCTTATAGTTTTTCAACTTATTTACATTGGCATGTCATTGAAGTTATTAATTAACCTACTTTTAGGATTCTTTGTATTTTCCTCTTCAATTAATGTATTTCCAAAATCACATTATATCTAAAAAAATATGGCAACAATAATTAATAAACATACCTTTCACTATTTTTTTTGTATTTTCCTGTTTTATTACATATATGTGTGTTGGAAAATAATTAATATATCTAGCTTAAAATAATTAATGAATCATTTGTTTATAAAGTTATATATAATATTTTTATTATTTATTAGTATTAATTAAAAATAAAATTATCATAAAATAATCATTTATATAATATATAAATTAATATGTAAATATATTATGTTACATATATTTTCATATAAGTAATACTCTAAGGTAAATTTAGTATTGTAAATGTTGAATAGTATAAAATATATAGCACTATATATTTTAAATAGTATATCCAACAGTTTTATTAAAATTATTATAAAATTTGGATTCAAAAAATATAGATATATTTCTACGAATAACGGATCATATTCTAAAAATATAGATTATCCAATGTTGAAAAATTAAAATAAAACTATTTAATATAAACTATAAAATTATTGTATTTAAAAGTATTATATTAAACAATTATTTAAACATATAGATTTTAAAATATATACTAACAATTACAAAGATAAATATTTATTTATAAAAAGGTAAAAACAAACATTGCGTGGATTGCGGATAAGACTCCAGTATACATTAGATAAAAAAGATTGGAGACAATAGTTAAATACCAAAATGTTAATGAGTGGATTATATATCGTAAGAATTTACTAACTAAATATTAAAGAGAGTAATAAAATGTCAATAACTAATTATTATATATTTTTATTGCTTTACTTTATAAGTCCTTTTAAATATGTCGACGGTAATCTATTGTTTCTCAAAGGTTATGGATAAAAATTAAAGATATATAGTGACCATAGATATATCCCAACAAATTATTTTCATTATCATAGCTGAATCTAACTATGAGATTCAAAAGCAAAAAAGAAAAACACAAAACAAAGAAAATCATTGCAGAATCTCCGAAATAAACTAACAACTAGATTATTACATCACGATGTGCCTCGTTAGACCAACAAAAATTCATCAGAAGAAGATTTGGCTTTCTCCTCGTCCAGTTTCACTTTGAGATCTGACAAAGTCATCTCTAGCTTCTTGATGCATTCCTCGAGTTGTTGGACTCTAGACCCATCAGCATCAATCTGATTTCTTCTTCTCCAAGGAAACATCCTCAATCTTTGACTTCAAAGAGTCCATCCCGAAGTCGGTTCCATTACCAAAGTTCTTGACGTATTCATCAAGTTTTTTGAGCCAAGGCTCAACAGCTTTTGCTTTCTCCCTCACCAAAAGAACCTCATCAACCTTTCTTTTCAAAGATTCCACCTTCTCTTCCATCTGCTCAAGATTCTTCACACGTTCTTCAAGTTGTTGGACCCTTGAACCATAATCATCATCTTTCTTCCTCTCCAAGAATACATTATCAAACTTTAACTTCAACCAGTCAATCTCGAAACCCACTTCTTCCAGCTCACGCAACTCTCCCTGAGAGATGATTAGCTCAGTCTCTGAGTGACTCTTTGAAGGCTTGTTTAGTGTATTGATGAGGTCAAGAAGGACATTCATGTATGCTGTCCTCACCACTTGGTTCTTTGGTTTGAAACCTAATGCAATGTCTGGCTGCTCTGCGAATATTTTCCTCACTAAAGCAATCTGCAAAGGAGACAATGTTTACGAAAAGAAGAAACCTAACTTTATACGTCATGAAGCAACCCTACAACGCATGCAAAAAATTTTATACTAAAACAAGAGTATATTCTTGTAACTTACCTGAGAAGCAGAAACCTGAAAACCGTTGATATCCACAGTCTCTTTCTCTGTCACATCTTCGCTTTCTCCATCCACAGCTTCAATCACATTAATGTAGACTTCAATGATGACACTGTCCTTTCCCATAAAGAATTTCTCCTTAAGCTTGCTACGAGGAAATAACTTTCCGAAGCCCAATGATAGAGACTCAGCGTCAAACACTTTGCTTTCTATAACTGTAACAAAACATCAACCACATGTTTATGTACGTATATATAGTTTATGTACGTATATAGTTTTTACTTCTTGAAGATTCAAACATTCTTACGTGTTTACCATCGATCTGCACACATAAACTAATCTTCACTATACACTTCTAAAATCTATATATATATACACTAAACCTAGCTATTTCATATTGGCTTGTAAATTCCAAACAAAAATCACAAATTACAGTTGAAAAAAGAGTCAAACATTCTTACGTGTTTACCATCGATCTGCACACATAAACTAATCTTCACTATACACTTCTAAAATCTATATATATACACTAAACCTAGCTATTTCATATTGGCTTGTAAATTCCAAACAAAAATCACAAATTACAGTTGAAAAAAAAGTCAAACATTCTTACGTGTTTACCATCGATCTGCACACTTAAACTAATCTTCACTATACACTTCTAATATATACACTAACCCTAGCTATTTCATATTGGCTTGTAAATTCCAAACAAAAATCAAGAATTACAGTTGAAAAAAGAGTCAAACATGGAATTGCAGGAAGGATAAAAACTCATTACTGCCAGAATTGCAGCGCTCTATATTGCGATGATTCAACACGGTGAAGTAATAACTAACATTCCTTTTCCATCCAGTTCGCAATGATTTAGGGTTTGCAACGTGAAGGTACACAGACAAGTGACCAGCATCAGCAAGATTAGTTCCCTTGGGATAAACTTGGAGGTACCTGTAACAAATATTAAACCCTTGTTAATATCGAATACATCAAATCATGGATGAGAAGAGAAAGGTTTTAAAGAGTCTTCTTCTTGTTTTACCATTCGCATCCGCCAGCTACGAATACCTTAGATAGTATGCGATTAGTTTTCTTCTTCCAGAACTCTTCTATCTCAAACCTGAAGCTTGGAGTTTGACTCCACATGTTTGATCAATTTGATTTCAAGTGGTTCGAGAAGAGACTAATAGCTTTCAGAAACTATGTTTGAGACTTTCACACATGAAGCCCTCTCTGGTTTATATAGGAGCCAAAACAAAGTCTGAAGCCCCTAGCTCAATAGGAAAACCAATACTTTTTCAAACAAAAAAAAAAAAAACTAAAACCTATATCTGTAAACAAAGAGATATGTCTATATCTTTATTTTTGCTTTTATTTATTATTTTAGAAGTTATATACTTTATTTTTTCTTGGAATTTATATTCTTTTTTTAAATGTTATTTAAAAATTAGATAATATATTTTTTCTTTATCTTGGAATTTTCATGATGATCCAAAAATCATAAGTTTGATGGAATCAGAAACAAAGAGATAAGAATGAAATGTCAACAAACAAAAGTTTAAGGCTAAACCTTAGTGGGAGAAGGATTAACAAATCCATACTATATAATACAAGAATTGAGATACCATATATATTATTCAATAGAATAATGCGTTACTCCTACTTTTGGTTAGGTTTTCTATTCCGTGTCTTTGACTCTTAGTTACTTTGAACCAAAGACTATCGTCTCAGAACCTGATTGAAAAGAGAATAAGCAAATCTTTTAGTTGAGGCCTCTGTTTGTAGAGGAGACAAAAAAGAACAAGGATAAACTTCTCAAAACCCTTGCTTAAGCCAGAAATACTGCAGTATATTAATATTGAAAGTGGTATCATTGAATTTTAAGGGTAAATTTGAAAAGTGGCATCATTGATTTTTTTTTTTTTTATCCTGAAATTTTCATTAATTAATAAAAATAGAAGTTTACAGGTCATGATCCAAATCATATACTTGGCTTTATATCTACTTTTCATTCCTCACGTCTCTTCAGAACATTTTCTTAGGTTTTGTATTCTAATCATAGTTACTTTGAACCAAAGACTATCAATCTCAAAACATGATCGAAAAGAGAATGAAACCATCAACATAAGCAAATCTTTTAGTTGACGCTATTGTCTAGACTAATATGATTCAGACGAAATTATAAGAAAAGAAAATCTGACTACATCAAGCAAACCTCATCGACCAACAAAAATTCAGCATCAAAAGAGTTGGCCTTATTCTTGAGCAGTTCAGCTCTTAGATCCGACACAACTAGCTCAAGATTCTTGAAGCTTTCCTCGAGTTGTTGGACCCGAGATCTATCAGAATCTGCTTTCTTACTCTCCAAGGAAAGCTCTTCAAGCTTTGTCTTCATGGTTCCCAAATCCATAAGCTCAAGAATCTTGACACGTTCCTCAAGTTGTTGGACCCGAGTCACATCATCAGCATCATCATCTGATCTCTTCTTCAATGAAATCTTTTCAAGCTTTGTCTTCAACCACTCAAGCTTGAAACCTACGTCCATCAACTCACTCAACTCGCTGTGAGCGCTGATTATTTCAGTCTCTGAGAGGTTATCTGATGAGACCAAGGAGAACTTTCATGTATTCTGTCTTCACAACTTGGTTCTTTGATTTGAAATCTAAAGCGATGTCTGGATGCTCTGTAAATATCTTTCTCACTAGAGTACCCTGCTAAGAAGAATCATGTTTTATGTTAATTAAAAAATCAAGTGATTAATTATAAAGAAAGAAAAAAAAAACTTTTTGAACTATTACATGAGAAGCAGGAACTTGAAAACCGTTGAAATCCACAAACTCTGATACATGTAGGTTTTGTCCATCAAAAGCTTCAACAACTTTAATGTAGAATTGAATGGTGACTCTTTCGTTCTTGAGAGTCTCTCTCTTGGGGAGATGCAAGGTATTTTGGATTTGGACACCCGAACCTGGTCTCCTAGCCTCAAACACGTTGTGAGGCATAACTATGAAGCATAAACAAAACAAAAAGACGCCTTAATCAATCACATTCTTATGTGTATAATAGATGCTTCCTTTTCAAGATTCAAACATGACATAACTTCATTAGATATTGTTGCCTTTACAAGCTCGTATTCAACTTTGTTAGTATTTGTTCATTTTAGAATCAGAGCTTGGTTTTGGGCATAGCGAGATGAAATATTCATTCACATATGCCCTCCAAAGTGGTTATATCATAATAATTAAGAATATATATGTTTAATTAGTAACGTTTCAAGGCCATGCATGAATATTTAGGCAGGCTTCTGGCTGTTAGATGACACTAAACATGGAAGGGTATAGCGATTCCTTACCAGATGATCTGCAGAGCTCTTTGTCGGATTGATTCAAAGTAAAGTAGTAACTAGCTGTCCTTTTCCATCCTGTGCCTAGTGATTGTTGATTTGCAACGTAGAGGTACGCAGCCAAGTGATCACCAATAAGACGATGTCCCTTGGGCCAAATATTAAGAAACCTTAAAACAATGATTAAAAACCCCCATGAATGATTCCGATCCATTACATGAACCTTCTAAAGCATGAGAGAGAGTTTAATAATCAGATTATATACCATTCGCATCCGTCAGCCACGAATACGTGAGAAGGTATGCCACCTTCCTTCTCCCAGAAGTTGTCAATCTCAAACGTGAAACTCGGCTTTTCATTCCACATTATTATTCACCAAAGACGCTTTCGCAGATTATGAAACTAACGCCCTCTGTTTGTTAGAGGAGGCAAGAAGAACTAAGGATCAACTTATCAAAAACCCTTGCTTCAAAACTTCCCCAAATCTCTTATCTTTTGCCTTGTTATATAGTAAGGCAAAGCTTGGATTTCAAATTGATAATTAACATAATAGCCACATATAATATATTTAGAATTATGATATGTGTTAGCCGATGGTTACATCGGTTTATGGTTACATCGGTGTGTCCGGTTACATCGGTTTATGGTTACATCGAGACTTGGGGAGTAAGTTACATCGGAGATATTGTGATATTGACTTGAGGAGTAAGTTAGATCGGAGATATTGTGATATTAATGAGTAGATATCGATAAGGGAAGATCTAATGTATTGTGATCTCATTGTAACAAGTATATATGTAGTCTTCCCATCGTGAATACAACTCAGAACATTCTCAACTTTTTCTTCCTTAGTTTACAATATGTTAAACAACAATTTTTCTTTTACAAAAATTTAAACTTAAAATAATTTAAAAAATTAGTTTTCTTTTTTGAAAAAGTCTTAACAAAAAACTGTAAAACAAAGAAATATTTCCTTATAAATAATTGTTTAAGAATAGTATTTCCTCTTAGAATGTTGGTTTAAGATAATTATGAAATAGGATAAATTATTTTAAGATAATTTTCTTACAAATTATTCTTATAAACATTCGTTTTATTTTTCCTGTTAAACATATTGAAAGTCAGTTTTCCTTTTTTTATAAAATCTTAAACAAAAAACTGTAAAAATAAAAATCTGTTTTCATATAAATAATTATTTAATAATAGTATTTATTTTTTAAACCTGAGTTTAAGATAATTAAAAAAAATAGAAACATTATTATAAGATAACTTCCTTACAGATTAAAATATGTACACAAAGAAAACAAAAATTCTACAATTGCAACAAAAATTCCAATTTTTATGTTTTCATTCATTCAATTAAAACATCAATTAAAACTCATGCAAAGCACAAGTCTCTTCCTAGTTAATTATAATTATCAGTATTTAAATTAGGCTAGTTTGTACCGTATTATATTTATATTGAAAAATATAAATTGAGATAGCTATTTATTAGTCTCTCTGTTTCAAATAGATTTATATTCTAAAAAAAATTGATTTCAAAAAGATACATGTTTTACATTTTCATGCATTTATTAATGGTAAATTGTAAACTTCAAAAAACATAATTGTATTTCTTAAAATTCTATCGGTTAAAATTCATAGGGAATAGTTAATTATAAAAATAGTGTATTGGTCTCTAACTTAAATTTAATAAATTTTCTTAAATAAGTGTGAAAATGTTAAAACATGAATCATTTTGAAACAGGGAGTATTATTGAACACTGAAACCTAGTTTGTGATAAACCCAATATTTGATCATAAACAAGAAAATAAAATAAAAAGAGCAATTCTCTCAAATAATCTTTTTTAAAATTTTTATTACAAAAATAGATCTCAAAAATTAAAATGACCAAGAAAATTTTATTTTTTTTTAAATTCGAAACTTTATCCCCAAAACCCCACTCATTAACTCTAAACAAAAAAAATATAGGATTAGTTAACCCAAGAGTATAAATGCATATTTAATAAAACATTTAAGTGCTATTTTGATCATTTTAATTGTTAAGGTCTATATTTATGATAAAAAAAATTTTAGGTCTATTCTAGTCATTTTCTCAAATAAAAATTCCAATGACCTAGTTTGTGATAAACCCAATATCTGATCAATCGAAATTTCAATGACAAAAATTTCCAAAAAAAAAAAAAAAGTCTTTTCATCTGCAAAACTCTAACACGTAGACAGCAATGTCTCCAAGACTCAACAACAAAGTCTTGTCTTCTTCAAAGCTTTGATAGTAAACCAGTCTGACGTGGCTTCGGCGCTACAACCTCTTTGACCTCACTGTCCTTGCTCTCCGATTTGCATGCTGGATTCGGTGGAACATCTACCGGGGTGAACAGTTGAAAAATCCACGTGGCTGTGAAAATCCACAAGGTTCACTACTCCAGTTTCTACATTCCCAAACTCAACAACGGATAAGCTACAGAGAAGGCGACAGGCTGAACCTAGTCTCTTTTGATGGTGCCCAATTGATGTAGCTCAATTGACTTGTAAGTTCTAACTATAGTGTTTCACGTGGCTGAGTTAATGAACTATATCAAGATTTTAAAAACAAAACATGGAAGTTCCAACCAAAAAGCTTCACTGGATTTCTAAACAAACAAAAAAATAGATAGAATTTGAAAGAAAAATTACAAGAAATCAAATTAAACAGGATCTCTCACATGAAAAAACAATCTGACAATGTGCACAGTGGGTACTGTAGAGTCAATTGACCTCTCTTTTTTTGTTTCCTTCTTCTTGGTTATAGAGGAAGATAAGAGTCTTCTTCGCCTATAATACACACTATATTTTTGGTGATGGGACTATGTTAACACACCGCATAGTAACCAGATTCTTGAGTTGCCAACTGTGACTTTTCAGTTGTGGTTGCAGAGCTGGCTGCTGAGGTGACGCTGTATCCAGTGATCACAGGAAATAGTCTGGTGTTCTTCGAGTAACGTCTGGCTCTCCTCTCCTCGGTGCTGGTTCAAACTGCACTCATAGTTAATTTACTTTTTCAGTTAGCGTCTTTTCTTCCTACACTAGTTTCGTTAGCAGAAAAGACATCTGGGTTTTTGAGGCAAGACCTGAATGAAGGTGTGGTTCCTGCAGTCATCAACTTCAAGAATCGAAGCCATGTTTCCACAACGGTAGCAGTAGTTTGGTGCACTGAAGATAGTTACCACCTTTTGCTCCTGTAAGACGGAAAGAAAAAAAAAAGGGAATGAAGTATAGTAGTGAGCAAAGAATCTTAAGCCTCGTAAAGCTATGGAAGGAACAGAGAAGGGTTGAACTGAAATTATTACATGAGCCCAGTTGTATCCATCCATAACCAGCTGATGGGCTCTGGCGATCAGCTTTAAACTGTTTGAGTGGTTGAACTGTTCGGATATGTCCTGTGGAAACAAAAATGAAAGACAATCAAGTTAAACGGAGAAACAGAAATAGATTCAGAACCGTTCTGAGATTTATAATTACCTGACCAAATGTATATCCAGCACCACGAGGAGAGATTCCCCAACCACAACGGTCATCAGGATCAGACCATAACAAGTCACACATGGGCCCTTCATGGGGCACTTCTTGAACTCTATCGAAGTTTCTTATGTTGTCAAGGGTCTCGATAGATGGAGACAATCCACCATGAAGGCAAAATATTTCTGACTCAACCTGCAATGGAATTAACATAATGATACCTAAATAATGTAATCCTCCATTCTTTGCATTTTTCAGAATACTAAAGTCTTGCAATTCTTTAGTTCAAAAATAATATTTGCTAGCACAAGACAAAGGACTACATGACTTAATTCTCATGTGAACACCAACATCATAAAAGAGGAAGAAAGGTGTGAAACATGATAGGGCACTAACCAAGGCTGTCAATGGGAAATAGTCAAAGAGGTCTGTAAAGATTTTCCAAACATTTGCATTTCCATACCTGCAAGAAAAGCAACCTTTGTCAAACAAGTGGCAGAATCTACAACCCAAATACATATCTAGGTAGAGGTTAATAAGCTTCAAATGCTGACGTGTAAGAAAATGCAATATAGGAACATAAATGAGCAAGCAATCATAAACTTGAAGGATTTATAGAAACAAAGCTAGGAGAGGGAGGAAATATTTGACATATTACTACACTTACATTACATGTAGCAACCGCAAAAAACAGGGACAAGAGTAATGCTAATGATGATATTACTTGCATGCAACTAACAGCATCTACAAAATAAGGATTTTTTTTTTCAGAAGACTCACTTTCGCAGACATTCATCATAAAATCCATAAACTTGAGTGATCTGCCAAACAGAAGAAAAAAAAAAGGAACCACTGCGTCAGATGTAGACAGAAAATACTGAGGGTATCGCAACTTTAAGGAACCATTACCTGACGACTTTCATGGTTTCCTCTAAGAATGGTGATTCGCTGAGGGTATCGCAACTTTAAGGCCACTAACAGCTGGAAAGAGGATAAAAGAAAAAAGAGACAGTGTCAACATACTTCATATTCCAACCCAGCAATACTAGTCTTAAATGGAAAAGAAAAGAAAGAAGTCTGCAAAGATCATCCTCGTACCGAAACAGTTTCAACAGAATAATAACCACGGTCAACGTAGTCTCCCATAAACAGGTAATTGGTATCAGGGCACTGCACAAGAGAGGAAAATGAATATTTGTAAGTTTTGTAGAGCTGTACATGGATAAACAAAAAAAAAAAAGAAAAAGGTAAGTGATATATGTTACCATTCCGCCAATACGGAAAAGCTCAGCAAGATCATGGAATTGTCCATGAATATCACCGCAGATTGTCACAGGGCTTTTCACAGGCTGCATACAAGAAAATAGCCAAAGAATAAATTCATCCTTAATGAAAATATAATACGCCAAAAGCGGCGAGGGGATGAAAAGACCAAGAAGAAACCTGAACGTTGCTTTCATTCATTAAAATCTCCTTGGCTTTTTCGCACAATGCTTTAACCTATACGAAAGTAAAACAATGCTACATATGAGTATTTAAACTCTTTATAGGGGATTAACAGTTATAAATAAATATTAAAACAAGTTGACACGCATCAAACAGAAAAATCAATCACAGAAGAAGAAAAAAACTCTGAAATTACTCATCAAGTTTTTGCCTTTTGGCTGATATGAGCTATGAAGGCTCTACACCAGCAGCAAGAAAGATGAGTTAATTTTTCCATTTACTTCTCTGCTCTTTTCTCCCTATTTGAAAAGCTACATCAAATGACTAGGTTCAATTCAAAGCGATAAATGCTAACGAAGTCGAGAACAATCTTCATTGCCATAGGAAGCCCACATTAGCAGGCACATAAAAACAGGATCTTTTGATGTAATTAACTAACTTTATGTTAAGAATCCAAATTTTCATCATCAAACCATAGAACGCAATCAAATCCAATTCTCCAACCAGTACAAAATACGGTGAAGATAGAACAACCGTGAGAGCTAACACATACGTAAAGATCTAAACTTTTTCCATAAAGTATTAACTTTTTTACAAAATCGAAACTCTCCTAATCAAACCCAATCATTTCTTACGCGATTGAAGCTCAAACAGAGAAAACAAAACACAGATCCAATTATCTAAGGAGAAAGTGGGGGGAGGGCCAAACCTGTTGCTCAGAGAGAGGCTTGCACTGCATGAGCTGCGAGATCTGCTCATCGAGACCAATCGTTGCGTCCGTCGGTATTGAATTCGCGCCCATTCTCTCGTTACTTCCGTCTTCTTCCGATCCGGGGAAACTCAGGACTACGTTCCCAAATTAGGGGGAATCTCTCTAACCCTAAATTGGATTGAATCTCCGTATTCTTCGCCTGCCCCTCTCTCTCTCTCGGAGTGATAGAAAGATCGAAAAAGGAATGGCGCGTGACGTGAGGGAAGCGAGTGGTTTGTAGCTTTCGAGCTGTATTCTTTGATATTACCATAATACCCCCGCGCTTTTTTTTAAATCGTCACCGGTACGGTTAATGAGAAATTAATAAAACCGGTTATTGGCTTTCGGTTTAATCAAACCGGCTCTAGCTTATTTAACAGTTTCGAGAATAAAAGCTTTTTTACTTTCTTCGCCTATTCATCTTCCTTTTAAGGGTTTTGTTCTCTCCCGTCTCTCTCACTTCGCTCTCTTTGATGACGACGAGATCTGATTCCGGTGACTGTCTTGTGCAAAACCCACTAACCTCCTCAGAGAAAGCTTCGATGTCTCTTGAAGATTTCGCTCAAGACTCGCTAAAGGTCGTTTCTTTATCTCCACTAGAGAAGGACTCTGTTTTAGAGATGATAAGCTCAAATAATCATGTAAAGTCTTCTCCTTTCGCCTCTATTCCTGAGAAAGATAGCGAGAGTATCCATGAGGAAGAAGCCCAGTCTATGGATGTGGATTGTTCTGGAGTCTTGCCTGTATCTGAAGCTAACTCCTCGTTTCTTGAAACGCTACAAGATGATGTGCAGAAGATGGAGGAAGATGTTGGGTCCGTTGTTTGTAACTCCGAGAAGGGACAAGAAGATTCCGATGTACAGAGACTTTTGGAGGCTGAGAAGAGGAGACTGTTGGCTGAGATCGAAACGGGAACAATCTTCAGAAAGAAGGAAGATTTGGAAAAGAATGAGAATGGCTCTAAAGAGCAGTGTCAGAAGGTGGAAAGAGTGAGAGTCAAGGACAACGCTTTTGTTGGGAAGTCTGTGAAGATCGATGTGGTTGATGATACTGCCTTGCTCAATGTCGTTCCTTTCTGCGGCAAGAAAGGCAAAGATCATCATTCCAAGAGGTCAGGAACAGCTGGACACAGTGATGATAGGGAAGCACCAAGGAAGCATAAGAAAACTGGAGGGAAGCATCAACATGTTGAAGCAAGTGGCGATCAGTTGCGGATGATGTACTCTGTGAACCAAATGAAGTCGATGAGGTATGCTAACATGGCGAATCAGAGGAAACTGTGGAGTGACATGTATGCTAGGCTCCTACCTGAGCTGGTGAGTGAGTACGAAGGTCTTGTTAGCTTTAAGAAGAGTCAGAAGAGTTCAAAGTCTAGTGGCATCGGTATTCTCGGTAACCCTCTACTTACTTTGCTTTTATCTTATCTGCTACATTTTTTGTTGGTTGAACATGTTGAGACTAGCTTGTAGGTATCTAAGAAAAATAGGTCACTCCAGTCTCAGATTATCTAGTGTTCACGTATCACCTTAAGCTATATCCTCAGCTTATCCATATATAGTATGTGTGTGTGTGTGTCTCTATCCCTCTGCCTATACTCAGAGGTTTTCTTTGCTATGGTTTTATGGCTTCTTTCTCTAGTCAGGTTTAGTGTCTCTGAGTACTCTTTCCCAAGAATCTCTTCTCTATTCAAACCACTCTAAGCGTTTTTGATGTCTATTATCTTGTTTTCTTGATCCATTCTCTCCTCTTTTCCAGAAACATGTCGTTTTGATAGGGGCCTTTTTTTCTTTCTTTTCAACAGGTCCTGTATCGGCTGTACCAAGACGAAACCGTGTGAATATCTTTGTACACTGAGCCGTGACCTGAAGAAACTAGTCAAAGTCCCTTTGTTCACAAATTTTCTCTTTTCTAAGACACACTACAACTTCTTTTTTCCCCCTTTTCTATGACACAACATAAACCGTGTGAATACCTGAGTCATTCTTTCTGTATATAGATTTTGGCTCAGATTGTAATAACGGCATATAGTGAGTTCTTTGGTTCAAAGTGTAACATGTTCATACAACTTCAATAAAATCAAAAATATTCGAAAGCAGATTCTTTCTCTGGTCCTAGCTCTTATCTGTTTCCAAGCAAATTCGTTTCTGTTAATTGCCCTGAAAACTCATACAACTTCATTCACACTGGATCCAAATTTGACTTTTCTACTTCTTCATGAGGAAATATAGGCACCAAAGAAGGTATAGATGACTTAACTCTTGAAGAAGAAGGAGAAGAAGAGGAGTACAGTGAAGATAATGACGATTACAATAGCATTTTGAAACCTGCGTTTGCGGTGGAAGGAGAACCTGATTTTGAATCTGGACCACCAGAAGATGGCTTTGAATACTTAAGACGAGTCAGGTATGTTTTTGTCTCTCTGTCTTTCCATCTTTCAGTGTATCTGCATTTATGAGCATATATGGTAAAGTTGTTTTTTGTATTTTAGGTGGGAAGCTAAGCGTGTTCCGAATGTAAAAGTAGCCAAGATAGATGAAAGCAAGTACATAACGAAAGAGCAAAGTGTCTACATGCCACAGATACCTGAAATACCCAAATGCCCAGAGCACTTGTTACCACTCAAGGAATGGGAAGACTCATTGCTTTCTGACTTCTCAGACCTTCGCCTGGTACTTACTCCCTCTAAATTACTTAGATATTATCAGTGTTTCTCTTAATAGACAAGAAATAAATGAAAGTGTTGTTGGTTTTATACAGGCTTTATCGCTAGATACCAACGAGTGCTGCGGAGATGAGACCATGCCATCAAGTCAGTCTACAGAATATATGCTAATGGGGATCTTCAGTACACGTCTCAACACAGTTACAGATGAGTCATTTGGTGTGGTGGTTTCTGAAATACAAGGAATGGACTCGGTGACGCGGGTATCAAGGCTGAAAAAGCGTATATGTTTGGTTGAGAAGGAGAGCGGTTTACAGAGCAGTGACTGTATATGGGTAGTAGCATTATGTGCATCAGTGGATACTCCTTTGGATGGTGATACTTGTGCTTGTCTCAGGGCTATTCTGAGAAAGTGTGCGAGTCTTCGTGCTTTAGAGGTTGAAGATGAACAAGTTATCATCATGGCTAATATGCTCATCACCATCGCAGGCAGATATTTTGGCCAAATGGAATAAGAGAACTGATGTTGTTTCTTTGAATCTGTCTTTGTTGAATGAAATTAGAAGAAGAAATACTTAATACTTTTCCTTTTTATGTATCCATAGTTTAATTTTAATCCAAATCAAACAGACCTTTTCTTCTCTTTAATTTTTTCATAATTTAAATTTTTATACATGTTAAATACAAATATAATGAAATTTTCCTACTTCCAAAAAGAATAGTATTATATATTCATCATTATCACAAATTACAGATTTATCTTGAAGATTAAGGAAAATCTCTTTATATTTATAATTAGCTACATTGTCACGTCTAGGAATCATATCATTCGCCGCATGCATTAGGTTAGGTTTAATCCTCAATATCTACGTTAACTTCAACTTCCTCGAAGTCTTGTTGTTGTTGTTGTTCCAGAGATGCCAACAAAACCAGAGTTCGTGAAGTTCTTGTCTAAAGGCACGTACGGATCAGTGGACCTCGTCAAATACATCAGAAGCGACGGCTCATCACCTCTCTACGCCGCCGTGAAAACCACAGACTGCGAAAACTTTTACATTCTCCAAAGAGAAGCTCTGATTCTATCAAAGCTCAAAGGATGTAGAAACATCGTACAATGCTATAACAACTACGACTTAGAAGAGGACTTCGATGGCCAAGGATCAAGAATCTTCAAGATGGTTATGGAGTATGCATCTGAAGGGAGTTTAGCTAATTTCATGTACAGTTACAAAGATAGCAAGTTGCCTGAAACGATGATTAAGGACTTCACACGTATGATACTTCAAGGGTTGGTCTCTGTTCATGACCTAGGTTATGTTCATTGTGATCTCAAACCAGAGAATCTCCTTATCTTCCCGTGTGGACAGTCTTACGAGCTGAAGATTTCTGATTTTGGGTCATGTACTGAAGTAGGAGAGGTTTCTGATACATGGGAATGCGACGCTCCGTTTGTAGGTTCGCCTATTTACATGTCGCCAGAGTCAGTCTATAACGGTGTGGCCGAGAAAGCCCTAGATTTGTGGTCGGTAGGATGTATAGTTTTGGAGATGTATGCCGGTGAGCCATGGCCGGAGGTTGAGTTTAAAGATCTTGCGTTTGTTTTGTTGAGTGGAGAAGTGCCTGAGATTCCAGAGTGTGTGCCGTATGATGCAAGGGATTTTTTAGTAACGTGTTTTGCAAGAAACCCTGAGAGTAGAGGAAGTGCTTCGGGTTTATTATCACATCGATTCTTGTCTGAAGACGACATGTATGGTCTTAGGTGTCTCTTTGCTTCACTTGATGGTTGATCCATGTTTATTTACATTTATGTTTTTATTCAGTGTGCATAAATCATAATAAATGCATAATGTTTATTAATGCAAGCACTAAACAACACAATGGCTATATTTTTGTTGATCTTTAGCGTCTACTATTTTCAAACCAATTTTAATGTTTTTTTCTGTCAACAATCCACTCTATGAAGTCAAGTTTTGGTCCATGGTAACGATGTTCCTAGGAACATTTTCATTTAAATGTTTTTATAATACAGAGAATGTGATTATGTATATGTTTGATGTTATATTTCAGTATACATATAACATAAACTTATAAAACTAATCCAGGTTGTGTATTGTTTTCTTGAGATGTTTTCTTCCTGTTTAGAGTTACGTCGGTATCTAAAACATTATTTTAGTCAACAATCAAGCGACCACAAAGTAAACTAAAGAAATAGATTGTTACTCAGTAACTTATACAATGATGATAAATTTAAAGAGAATTCAAGAGAAAAGAGCAGAGTAAAAGAGTACGTTCCAAGTATCAGGCAAACCAGGAAGACACCAATGGCTACAGTCATTACCAGGATGGTTCCCACTGTAAGCAGAAGGATGAGCATCTTTACGGAGCTGAGATAGACCGGTTATGTCTAGCCAATAGACTGGTTTCTTCAATCTCCTAAACACTTTGTTTAAAATCACCCAAGCCACTGGTGGCCCTCCTGGATACTTCCTCCCGTAGAATGGTTGTGTCTGACTCTTACATGACTTCATTGGCTCTCCCCAATCCCTTCCACTGCCAACAAAACATCATCTAATTAAAGTAACGCCTAAATAATGTTAGAGAGTGGTGTAACCATAATCAAATAGACAATAACGCATAGTATCAAAATAATAGTCATGGCCGGATGAAACATTCGACTTGATCCTAAATTTTAAAGACCTATTATACATATATCAAATCTTCCCTAATAGCTAGGTTATGCCTAGCAAATGCTTAACTATTAACATAAACTACCCATTGAAACATGTTTATTTCTTTGTTAACTTACTCGTAATGAACAGGAGAAACGCCATTGAAGAAAACCTTGGTCTTAGATGGATTGACGAATGCATTAACCCATCGAGCCCAAGTGGTCATCCCTTTGTAATAAGCGACCAGTCTGTTCATGTCTTTGTACAATCTGTTCCCATCTTCCATGTAATCCCACCTGGTTCCACACAAACACACACGTAGACGTCATCAAATGAGTCAAAACTCAAGAAGACACAGACATAAAGCCAAAGAAAACGTACGGTTGGATGTGGTCGATATGGGTCCACCAATGCCAACTGTTGAAAATCAAGACGTCCATGCCTCTCCACATTTTGCCTTGCTTAATGGAATCCAGCTTAAGCACTCTTCCAACGTTCTCCGTATCTAAATCCACTAAGAACTGTGTTCTGTATAGCTTCAACGTCACTCCGTAGTCCTGCGTCCGTAACAGTTACATAAACTCGTTATTTCACTAGATAATAGTATATGTATATAACTCGACCTTATTGTAATAAGTTTGTGTTTCATGAAACCTTTACATAATGCATCTACCTTTTGATATGTGTAAATTTGAGGGTGATACATGCGGCCATGTGCTCAAAATATCATATGAATTAAATTAAACAAAAAGAAATGGAATTATATCTTTTGTGTGGCTCATTATCATAAAGATGATAACATGACATGATATTCTGAGAGATTCTCTTTTTTGGGAAATAGGCCACTAATCACGTTCATCTCTTAAATGCTCTGCTCATTCTCTTGTGCTAATACTATTTTTATAACATGAGTGCATAAATAAAGCATCATATTTTATATCAAATCAAAAGAGACAAAAACAAATAATTAATAGATAAAGAAAGTGAAACTTTAGCCGATGTCATTTTCATACGTTCACTTTTATCCTGTTTAATTTAAGCAAAAAGAAACTTTTCAGACTATAAAGCTGAAAAACCAAATTATTTCTACGGCAAAGAATCTTACTTATATCATATTATTATAACGGAATAAGTATTTTATTAAATGAGTTTACTAGAAGAAATTATAATTAGAAAAATAAACAAACCTCGAAGGTGAGGGAAGCGAGACCCTTTTGGCGAAGAAGAGTGTAGCGAGCGTTAGGAACCCAAGAGTGAATTAGACAAGCAAGAGATTGCCACATGTTTGTGCTTAGTGAATCTCCAACAAACATTATCTTCTTCCCTCTCATCTTTCTCAAGAAATACAACCCATTGAATCTGACAAATATAACAAACATTTTTTTTCTATCTTAATTCTAGACCGAATGAAAACTAAAATCTAAATGATAAAAATGTATATAATTTTAGTTATTAATGTGACTACAAATATAAGTCTTAATAGTATAATTCTAATCTTAAATTGTTTAAAACCCAAAAAAATTACTAAAGTTTTAAATTTTCTTAATCGGATACATTTTTAGTTTGTGCTTTGGATTCGGTCTTACACCTTTTTGGAGAGTGAAATAATGGAATGATATCGAGACATTATTGCTCCAATGCAACTCTCACAAAAGTTTCAAATTTTGAAATCAAAAAGGCAAAAAAATATATACAAAAAGAGGAAAAGAGGGAAAAAACAGTAAGAGAGAGAGTGTGAATACTACTCTCTTAACTTTGAAATTCATTTGGAACATTTCTTACCAATATGCTTAAATATCTCTGTAAAATGCATCAAACCAACAAAAATAACTCTCCAGCTTTGCTTATTTATTAATGGTAACAAACACAATTATTCACAAGAACAAGAAAAAAAAGGTTTGATATTGAGTCAAATGTGAATCAAAGCCAAAACCACTAATTAAAGAATGTAAGAAGAGTAAGAAGAGAGAGTGTACCTAGGGAGAGAGCAAGAGGAAGGTTGCCATCGATACTTAAGATAAAAATTGTCGGGACGACCATACTTCTTGCAGTTAAACTGTGGATCTATGAAAGGACATTTATAAGGATCGTAAAGTGGGTACTTTACATCATAAACCCAACTCCCTTTAAACCAATTGCATTTCCAAGAAGCTAGCTCTCTTCTCCCTCCTTCCTCACCATTGTTGCTACTTGTGTTGGTGTAAGCAGAGACTACAGTTGTAAGACAAAGCAAGAAGAAGAAGAAGAAGTAAAGAGAAGAAGGGTTTTCTTGGGAAGAGAAACCCATTCTCTCTCGATCTGAGATTGAGATCCTCTCTCTGTGTGTTTCTGGCGAGAGATTGGTGTACTGGAAAGATGTGCCTTGGACTGTTTGGTTATTATATAATACTCCAAACCCCACAAGAGAGAAAGAGAGAGAGTGTTGGAAAGATTGATTGTTTACATCACATGGGAACGAGGGAAGCAAGAAACAAGATTCTTTATGTGTCCTTATTAGTTTAATAATAGTGTTTTTGACACGTACTAGGTACGTTCCAAAATCTAATTTCTCAATTTTCCAACTCTTTTTTTTTTTACTGTTTAAATTATGTTTTTACTGAATATTTTAGATATTTCATTTACCTCAAAAAAATGGTTTCAAAAATGCATTCACTAAAAAATATGTTGGTGTGAATATTATATCATACTTAAATCTATTTGCTAATTAATATTCTCTCCGCTCCACAATATAAGTTGTTTTATCCAAAACACAAGAATTAAAAAACTTAATTTTTAAAAAAATAACGTCATTGATACTATAAATTTAAAATAAATTAATCAATCATAAATAATAAATTAAAATAGTATTGATCAACCGATTTTCTATAAAATTATAATATCTTAAAAATATCAAAACATTTTATATTTTGAAACACCAATTTTTTCTAGAATATCTTATATTATGGAATTGAGGGAGTAGATTTTTGATTTCCTTAAATAATCATCA